ATTTTTTTTAACAAGTTACTTTTATCTTCATCCATTAGTTGCATTATTCTCTCCTTCAGTAAATACTGGAGCTGATCGGATTTTTATTCATTTATTTATTTTTCAAATTCGCGAAATTTTTTCCTTAAGTTAAGAGGAGTCAAATTATATGTATTTAAGTGATTTACATAGTTCAGAATTCAAGTGTGAGTTACTCCAAGGAATTTCTGTTTGTTAAGCTATAGTCTGTGATAATTTCGACTACTGTGTTTAAGTGTTTAAGAAAATAATGAGACGATTAAGCTAAAGGCTATAAAATAAAATTTTCAATTTAATAGAAAAAATTACGAAACATTATTTTTAGAAAATGAAAAGAAAAAATGGGTTTTAATTCATGATGCCACAAGAAATTAGTGTTAAGCTAAAACTTTAATAAAACACATTATCGTGAATACGAATGGTGAATAAATGAGAAATAAAATAATTTTACCAGTATTTTTTAAACTTAATATCGCATATGGAGCAATAATAGTTAAACAATTAATTTAAATGCTACAAAGAGTAAAAGATTTAACTGTATAAAATAAATTAAATTTGAATGAATGTTAAATATTAGACCAGCAGGGTTGAACTAGCCTAGTGATTTTACTTTTTTTCAATTATTTTTACTTTGCAAAACCAAATAATTCCCTCTGTCCTTTATCTAAAAATAGATTCGACTACAATTTTTGTTCATGTACTGTTACCTTTATTTATTTCTTTGTTTTATTTATATTATGGGCAAAATTTACGGACGCAGGATAATGCTGAGAGAGGGAGAAAAATGGTTATTTTAATTTCCTATTTAAATGGAAAAGATGCACGTTCGATTTCTTTTATTATTTTCAGATTTATTACCACGAGTGAATTTTTTGCGCATTGATTCTGTGTTTTGAGCCTGTAGTCCTGTAGACCACCTCCCCTCTCAGATGTTCTACAGGGACTATTTGTGTGTTTCAGACTAGATGTTAAAAAAATATTAATGAAAAAGAGATTTGAAAAACTTACAAAGATTATTTTGAAAAAGGAAATGAGAAATTTTTAAAGTTTCACCACAAGCCTTTTTGTATGTCGAGTTTGAATCTGGAGGTGACTTGTGATGAGTGCTGTCGATATCGAGTTTTTCTCATCAACAAAAAATGCAGTCGTAGCTTTCACAATTGCAAAATTAATGAAGATGTGTTATTTTACTGACCAAAACTTGTCTTTTTCTCTAATGAGGTCCCGCAGTGGAGTGATCGTTAAAACACGGTTCCCAGCAGATCGCCGAAGTCAAGCATCACTGGCTACGGCCAGTGTGTGGGTGGGTGACCACTTGGATCAGTCTGCGTAGGGACCAAGGGTGTGCGGTATTGGTCCTCGTTAAACTGTTCTACCGAAAAGTCCTCGACTTCGCTTGCAGGTCATTGGGCTACCGAAGCGGGGGTGCTAACCCCTCTGCAGAGGATCAAAATTGTGATGGCATGTCTTCAGATCATCCTCAGGGATGTTTCCCAGACCGTCGCCAATAGCCCATTGTGCAGCTCTAGTGCAACGTAAATTAACAACATCAGCAATTCTCTAATAAGACGAGCACGGATAGCATCGATAGCAAGGATTCTTACACTGGATCTTCAATTTAACTATGGTGACGTGAAAGAATTTGTGATGAATTTACTTAATCACATTTTCTGCGAGTAGTTGTAGTAGTTGTAGTTCATTTACATCGCACTAGAGCTGCACAATGGGCTATTGACGACGGTCTGGGAAGCATCCTTGAGGATGATCCGAAGACTTGCCATCACAATTTTGATCCTCTGCAGAGGGGTTAGCACCCCCGCTTCTTTAGCCCAATGACCTGCAAGCGAAGTCGAGCACTTTAAGGTAGCACAGTTTAACGAGGACCAATACCGCACACCCTCGGTCCCTACGCAGACTGATCCAAGTGGTCACCCACCCACGCACTGACCGCAGCCAGCGATGCTTGACTTCAGTGATCTGCTGGGAACCGTGTCTTAACGATCAGTTCACTGTGGGACTTTCTGCGAGTAGTAAAAATAACATATGAGTTCTGTGGTGCAAATAAATTAATTTAAATCTTTTTTTTGTTTATTTATTTACTTCTCAATAAAAGGCTTGATACTAACTCCTAAATGGCAACACAACAATGTGATTCTGTAGTATCATGGCGGAAGATGTAATAAATGACAGTTCATTTAATTCTAGTCGAAATCCTCACTCAGAACACGAACTTTTGCTATATGAATTAGAAACTTCTGATACCAGTAGCGTTGGATTAGTTGTTAGGTATTGATTACATGTTTATCTCTCTATTAATATATTTTTAACTTCAATATGCCGGGGTTTCGAATTTGACGTAGTGTTTATTAATTCAGTTATTTACTTTTAAACGTTCGATTTGTCTAAAAGTGTCGACTTTAAGTTAATTTATCCTTTGCTTTCTAATGGCAGGTGTGTTTCCTCTATTTCTTGCTTATATTAATCTCACAAAATAAGATCGTGTGAAAAAAAGTTATCTTATGCTGGCACTTCCTGGCACACTTCCTGAGTGCATCCGCTTAAATTACCATGCGTATCTTTAAATAACTAGAGAGGCCGAACCAAAGATCAGGTTATTTACAATACAAATGTTTCTTCAAATATTATGAATCGAAATTCGAGCGAAATTTTGAAGATATCAGAGATTGATCCATCTATTTTGTCATGTCAAAGTGTGATGTATGGAATTATGCTTAACTTTTTTTTTTTTTTGTCCTCGCTTGATCTTTTACTACAGAGATTACTGCTAGTTTTACTTAATATTTACACATTGTTAGTTTAGATATCTCTGCTTGTTATTTAATGTGGCCAATTATTATTTTTTTCAAATGCTTGACATTTTATTTATGAAGATCATTTGCAAATTGTTTTTAAAAACTGTACATTGTTAATTTTGATTTTTTTTTGTGTGTGTTATTTGAGGCAGAAAATTATTATTTTTGTTGAATAAGAACTGTTTTGTCAAGAATATTTTTAAAATCTAATCTAGATATCTCTGTTAGTTATTAAAAGCAATAAATTATTTTTGTCAAATGCTAGATATTTTATTATGATCATTTGAACTTTATATTTGAAAACTCCTCTTTAATTTAAATTTTTCTGTGAGACAGCAGATTATACCTATTTTTGGACTTGGGAAATCACGTTGTGTCTATTGGTGTTAAAATCATTTACATTTTTGGGATTGTTCCTGTGTGATTGTTTACAAAAGTTAAATGGTTTATGTTGATTTATACTAGGAATGTTTTAATTATTATGAAAAGTATATTGCAAGCAGAAATTTAAAATGAAAAATGAAATACTTACTAATATGGAGTTAAATGTAATTTAAATAAAAATATGATAAAGCTTTAAATAAAATGGGTAAACAGTTACCTAACATTAGTTTAAAGTAGAAAAAGTGAATTCACTTAAAAATTTCTTGATGTACAAAATTATTTTATTAGCATTGTTATGGCATTTATTTTGTTTAATATTTAACTTTTTTAATTCTTTATTTTTAAGTTCATATTCTTCCAAAGAAAAAATAAATAAAGTGTAACAAACTGAAAAAATTGTCAAATGTTCTGCAATAAGACTTGATAATTGCTACATTCTACTAGTATAGTTTAATGTACAATTAACTCTCATTAGTTAATTATTACTATCTTTTTCCTGACAAATAATTTTTGTCCTATTGAAAGGGAAAGTTCTACATCAAATTTTATGTATATGCTTAGTATATTAAATAATGGAACAAAATTTTCAAAAGCATATAACATTCTCTTTGTTGATCATACCGGGGGTGATTGTATTCTGGGTGTACCCCAGATTTTTCAGGGTTTTCGTATAGTCTTTCTGGATCTAAAAACTAAAAGCAGGGTATCTAAATTTTACCACCAATTTACTTAATTTTCCATAAATGAAGAGTATTGAATCACAGTTTTCCGCTTATTCAAAACTTATAATCGGACATAATTTTCACTGAATTTTGCTATTTGAATTTTGAAACTTTGACTAAATTATGTTAATTAGACCACTGCAATGCTTGGATTCTTACTCAATATGATGAAAATCTTCTGATTTCATTCTCTTAGTTTGGTGGATTTTTGCCATTTTCAATGTTTAAAACTGTGCTGACATACACAATTCATATTCACGCAATTTTAATATCCACTATTGGGTTTCTTATTTACCTGATTTTAAAGTTACATGTAGCGATTAATAATCACCTGATCTAAAACTTCGATAACGAGATTCGTATCCGACGAGTTAAAAATCAATTATTGTTTTTACACGTTTTTAAGATCAATATTGTTTCAAATTCAGTATTGCAATTCTTATTAACGTGTTTGTGATATCAGACATCTAATTTTGTATTTACATGTGATTTAAAAGTTCATTTACATTTCAATTAATATTCATGTGATATAAAAGTCACGCAAAATGATTCATATTTATGCCATTTAAAAATCCAATATTGCGATTTGTATTTTTACATTTTTAAAATTCAATATGGTGATTTGTTTTATCACATTTTTAAAATCTATTATCACAATTCAAATTTATGCTATTTTAAAATCGAATATTGTGATTCCCATTATTATATCAGTGTGAGGATATTTTTCGTTGTCAGAAAATTATATTAAGCAAAATGAATAATAATTTGATATCGAGTTTTTGCTCAAGAAGTTTTCTGGATTTTTTTACTTTGTGTCACAATCATCCCTATTTGACGTAAATTGTTCTGTAAGAAACTGGGCTTAAATAGTTCTGCTCTAAATATATATTGGAACATAAGTAGGCACAAGGACTTAGACTGCTCTGGGATGTATGTCACAGTTTTGAACACTTTCTGTTTTAAGAGAAACAAGTATATTAGATATTTTATTGCTGTTTTGAAGAAAATCATTTATAAATCTGTAAATTCGATATATTGTTTAATGTTATGTAATTGTTTTTAGAGCTTTATATGATGGAGATGAATATGAAAAGTTTATGGAAAGGCTGGATGCCAGAATCAAAAACCATGACAGGGATATTGAGCGAATGTGTAATTTCCACTACCAGGGATTTATCGATTCTATCCGGGAACTGCTTCAAGTTAGAAGTAAAGCTCAAAAGCTTAAGGTAATTTTGAAACTTAAAATATTTGTACTTTTTGTTCTTATAAATTCAAAGAAATAATGCAAATTTTACACTTCCACAGTGGTTAAAATGTTTGAGTAGGATATTGAAATCATTGTTGTCATTTTGTTTGGAAGAAATCAGTTCCGTTCAGGACTTTGGATAAAAAACCCAGAAAAAACGGGACGTAATGGAAAAAAACTCAAAAAGACCAATACAATTGTCTAGTAACACCATGGCATAATCGTAGCGACATTGTCGCAGAACGTTACTGAGTTCTTGCAAAAGGACTTTTCCTTTGGGAAATAAAAAATTTTACTTTTCTTTTCTGCAGAAATTATCTTTTCTTCGGAATTATATTCAAAAGATGCCTTTCTTGCGCATCGGAGTGGGAAAAAAGTGCTTGTGACTTTTCTGTTCTCACAGGAGAATAATGAAAAATAAGGAATAATGAAGTAAATAATTTGGTTTTCTTTTCTGTGGAAATTTTCGTTCTAATTTTTCATGGAGTTATTATTACTGATTTCCTTATGGCTATTAAAATCCGATATTATTTATCACAACAACTAAATCTCGAAATGGAAACACGCATTTAGTAACTCCTTTTTGAAGAGTCCGAATCGTATGATTTCGTCGTCTCTCTTTCTTATTGGCAGTTACTCCTACAGATTTTATTTTTTTAATGTGATGATGTATTATAAAATGCGAGAAAGGAAATAATTAGTGTGTTATCTTTATACAAAATGTGAGAATATCACCCATAATATTAGAATTAAAAAAATCACACATTCAATTCAAAACATTATTTTATTTGATCCAAATTTTATTTATTTAATTAAATTTTTTGGAAGTGTTTTTGAAGTTTGTATATTTGTTATTGTTAAATATCTTCTAGAAAGATATTAGTATTAGAGAAGTATGTCGCTGAAAGCCCAAAAAAATTCTGCCACAGAGTCTAGTAATAAGTATTATAAGAGAAACTTTAACAAGTTAAATTAAAATTATTGTACCCGAAAGTTAAAAGCTTTTCACATTCACTTAAAAAAACTATTTTTATTTGTTTTTGTATGATTTTAAAAATCTACATATATTAACAGTCAGTTTGAGTATACTTAACAGTATATGTTTATCAAAATTAGTATGCTATTTGTAATTGTGAATTCGACATATGTTAATGTATACTATATTTAGTATGTGATTTGTTAATTTAGTAGTATTAATAAAATTTTATTATGATATTTTATCAGTTAATATAACTATAAAATTTGATTTTGCAACACTCATTTACATTAAATATTGAAAAACTATATTTTAATTTTTCAAGAAATTTATTTATTTATTTTTTTCCCAGTTGTTACTTTTTAGTTATTACTTATTTAAAAATGATGTTTTAAATATATTTAAAATTAATACTATTGTTTAATCTAGATTGTTATTATAAACTGCTTAAAAAAGTGTTATAATGTTCAATAATTCTTTTTAGAAAGGAGTTTCGTTTATTCCTTCCACTTGGGTTGGAAGAAATTTGACAGTCTATTTATGATTGAAATGAAAGCTTACTGATAATAATATTTGTTTTAAATCTTTGTTTTTCATTGTATTGCTTATTAATATAAATACAATTATTATAATTAGGTTTTTATAGTGTTGTAGGATAAAATGAACCTAAATTAATGTAATCATATTGAGGGCTGTCTTTCAAGAGTAGATGTTTTTTACCTGATCCTATCTTGTTCTATAGTTTATCTAAATGTTTTCCAAGGGATGTTGTTTATCACACTTGATGTTATTTTGTTTAGATTGCTTTATAATGATTTTTTTTTCTTCATAAACACAATATTTAATTTTTATACTTGGTTTTAGAATGAGGTTTTGTTAACAAATGAAGACTTGCAACAAAGTGCAAAGAAAGTAATGAAAAAAGCAGAAGAATTAGTTAAGCATAGGAAAATGCAGTATAATATTTCCTGTGCCATTGATAATTTGTTTATGTGCCAACCTGTTTTAGAGATGTATTTCAAACTAATGCACCAAATGAAAGAGAAGAGGTAATTTTAAATATATAAATTTATTTAAATAATATTTAGTTTCTTTTTTATATATTTAAACTTCCTTTCTGTTTTACGAGGATTGTTGTAAAGTTCAGTCACCGAACTAGAAAGAAAACATATTAACCAAAAAGAAATACACTTTCTGCAACTATACAGAACAATACAAATGATACAAAAATGTTTATTCTAATTTTTTGGTAAAATTTTGAAATCTTTCATATTTTTCCTTTAAATATTTTTTTCATTGCTATTTAAAGTAATGTCCTCTATCCGACTACCTTATATAATCAACAATAACCTTAACAATATCTGATTATTTCATTTTTTGTGTGACTAAAATGACTTTATTTTAAATTTATGGTAATGAGGCATTAATTGAATCATTAATTTAAATAATTTAATTTTATCAAAAAACTGGTTACAAAATGATAACATTTAATTTTAGACTTTTCTATGTTTTTCTCTAAATAAGCAATTCTTTGATGTTTTTCAATACTTCCCCTACATTATACTTTGATGTTGTTTGTTTTTCAGATATTATCCAGCTTTAAAAATATTAGAACAGCTAGAACACACCTATTTACCAAGAATTAGTCGTTATAGATTTGCTCAAACCATGAGAGCTACAATACCTGTGCACAGAGAAAAAATTAAAGAGGCTTCTAAGTCAGATCTGAACGATTTTCTGGAAAATGTTCGTAGAATTTCTCCGATGATTGGAGAAAAGGCTATGAAACATGTAAGTCTAGTTTGGAATATTAATATGTTACCATTTTCATTTACTGTGTAAAATCTTCTTTTACAAGTTATTTTTTGATGTTGATCAAACAGTGAAAAACTGTTTTAATCTAAGTTTTTGCATTGTTCACTTTTCAGCATTCTAGCAGGAAATGTTTTCTTTTTGGACAAATTTTTTCACACAGGGAAATTTCCTATAAAACAAAATTATAATTAATATTTTATGTAATTATTAATATCACAAATTATTTAAATTAAAACATCTATTATTGTTTTAAGTTTTATATGTATATTATTATTAATGCATATTTCTATAATTTTGTAAATGAAAAATTGAAAGGAATGATAAATCTAAATTAGTACTTAAATTCAAGTTCTCAACTTGAGACAAACATTTATAAGTTTGTAATAACAGCTTATTTTATCAGTATATCATACTCTATTTTGTAAGTTTTAAACATAAAAACAAAGATGGCCAATAATGAAGACTCCAATTCTTTTATTTTTATATATAGTACTAAGTCCCTCATCCGGATGCCCCTTTACTGGAAGATAAAAACTCCATTTCCTTTTCAAAAAAGAAATTGTGATGAAAATCCTCCTCTTTTCCTCAAATTTCTGCTTTGTTATGATTTTTACCGGACTCCCAATTTTTGTTCGATTTGAATCCGTTTTCCGCTGTAGAATGTAAAGAAAATTGGATATCATGTAAACAAAACCGGCATTTCATTACCCCGCAAGAAAAATTGCGTATTTTTTTTCTAACGTCTCGCAGAAAAGCATTATTACTGCTAAGAATCGCACACTCAATTTCAGAGTGCGGGAAAATATTTGAAAAATCCGGATTTAAGATGAAATCGTCCCGCCTGTAGCAGGTCGTATAGTGATTTTACGTTAAGCGTGTTTTGTAATAATATGACATTAAAAAGGAAATCAAAATTTTTAAACCTATGTGGAATTCCAAAACTGTTGAAAATGAGATCAACAAAACGATGTGGATAATAAAATTGTCAAACATCGAGTGCATCAAAAAAAAAAAAATTCTATGCATGTACTATTTAAAGTTTTCCATGTATGTTAAGGTTAAAAAGCAATAAAAATCCATGTAGGATAGCTGGTGGATCATCAATAATTGAGTGCCAAATGCACAATTCAAAGTTTGCCGAAAGAAATAATGTATTAAAACATTGATATTTTAAAAATGAAGTAAAACACCGTTTTAATAACTACTGAAAAACCGATCAGCAAAACCATGCTGATTCACTGTGGAATCATCGCTAATCAAATGTATTGAGAAATTATTACTAATTGACATTTTGTGATTCGGAATTTGCAGTATGTTATAATGACGTATTATAATATCAAGATTTTAAAAACCATGGGGAAATCTGTAATAAAAGCTGCAAAATTATGTAAGACGCAAACCACATAAATTTATACTTTGTTGATTAAAATTGATGTTAATTTTTTCTATTTGTTATTTTTATTGAATAAGAATGTTTTGATGTTTGTTTGCTTTAAAGATCTATTATCCAGAAAAATCTATTTTTCGGACTTTCCGAATTGGGACTTTTAACTGTATAGCTTTTTATCTGGAAAAAAGGTTGGATTTTCAGAATTATTGTTGAAATTTTTTTATTTTTCTTATATTCCTTGTTAGCAATCTGAGCACAGCACTGTGGATGTTGATTTTAAATGGAAGAAGCGGAAAGCTCCTCCTCCACCGAATCCTTTCACTGGGGAAATAGAGCAACTGCCAGAAGAATGTGTAGTGGATGATGGGGAAGATTTAAGTGCACAGGATATGATAGATTTTTCACCTGTTTATCGTTGTCTCCATATTCATACTGTATTGGTGTGTATTGCAAGTTTATGTTAATATTAGCTTACATAATTATAAGCCATCAGTTTTTCTTGCAAAGCCATTTACATCTTTAGAATAATATCTTACAGTGTAAAGTTAACTTCAAGTTTTTTTTACAAATGTGTATAAATATTCTATCGCATTAAGAGAAGCAATTACACTTAAAAAATTAAACATTGACACTTGTATGCATTGAAAAATTATAGCTAAATTGCTGTATAATATAATTTTTGTATTTTGAATGTTGTCAGTAGGTTATGAGTATATTTTTTTATTATGTTGTAATTTCGAGTAAAATTTCTACTAGTTTTTTTTTTGAAGAAATAATCTAAAGTTTTGCATTTTTATTAACAGAATTTTTTTTTTAAATAATCAGCATCTATACTATAAAAAAATTACAGGATATAATAAGGTAAACAAAATCAAAATAAATTGAATTTATGCCAGCAAAATTGTCATGTCTTTAAATAAAATTTGTCTTCTAAAGTTTAAGTTGATTTTTCTCTTTCTCTCTCTCTCTCTTTATTAATGTCAGTATGTTGCATTTTAATAGACACTGTTAAAATCATTGAAAAATATTGTTTGATTACTGAAGTCAGTTATTTTTGCTATTTTTATTGGCAAATCAATTAGTTACGAATGTTGTATTTTATAGACTTTCATTGCATATAATTTAGTTAAAAAAATTTAGCAGTGCTTATAATTTATGTGCAACAGCTCTTATTATTCTTTGCACTTACCTCAATTTTTATTGGCTTTTAAAAATTTTATTTTTTTAAGAAAACTATATTTTTTGGAACATATTTTTAATTTCTCAAAATTTTTTAAACTTAGGAAACTTACTAAAAATTGAAGTTTGTGTAAATGACAAAGAATTTTTAAAATTATTATTAGAATTGCTTGATTCTTTCAGGGCTGATTGTGCTCCGGAAAAAATCCGGATTTCCGGATTTTTCGCTAACCGTGATCCGGAAGTTTCCGGAGATCGAAGGTTCAGATGTTTAAAAAAATCGGTGATCACAAAAGATTTCGGAAATCAAATTTTCAAAGGTGGAACTTAAAAACGCAGTTTATTTTATTTGTTTATAAGAGAGCTACTTTATAAGATTATATTCAAGATTAATATTCATTTTTTTATCAGTAAATAGTTATTATAATCATAAACTCAAGAAAGAAAGACATATTTGTAAATTTCAATTGCTTCTCCAGGTCATCATAGGTATGTGTAAAATTTTAAATATATTTTAAGTAAACTAGGAAATATTGAGAAAAAGGAAAAAACCTTGTTTAAATTTTTTTTCTAATTTTTCAGTTTAAACTTTTTTTTATTTATTTATTATATTTTTTTACTCACGAAATTTTCCGGAATTTTGACTGGGGCTCACAATCACCCCTGTTCTTTAAAACCATAGCATATTTTTTTAAAGTTTTTAAATCGACAAGAATTACATTTGTACATGATGGAATTGTTGCAACGTTTATTTATTTTAACCTTTTATTTTAAGTATGTAAGTGTAATTATTAGCCACGGTGTGTAGCATTTTTAAAAAATGCTTAAAGGTGCTTCTTTTTTATTTATTTTTTAAAATCCTTTAAAGGTACTTCTTTCATTCAGGTTTTGTAAAAAGAGCTTGATTTCCTATCTTTTAAAAAGAGATTTTTTTCTTTGCTGTTTTAATTGTCGTTCTAAATTACAAAGAATGCATGATTTTCACAATTTTCTCTGCAATGTTTATCAGAAACTAGCTATTTTACAATGATTATGTAAAATTTTTGAATTTTATTGATTTTATGTTTAGAAATTAGGAACTTTAAAAGATAGAAAAAATAATTTTTATTATTGCACAGTTCCAAATTATGATTTTTTTTTTGGAAAGTGATTAAAAATATTTTTTAAGTGCTTAAAAAGTACTTTAAAGGTGCTTATTTTTTGTTGAAAAATCTGACTACGCATCCTGTTAACAATCTATAAAAACGAGAAATCAGAAATTTTAATTAAAAACTGACCTATTATTTGAGTCAGACATTTGCAAAATTTTGTTGACACCATACAGATAGTTTTTCTTTTAAGTAAAAATAACTTCTGTAAAAGAGGCTACTTTCACTTTTGTAAAACATACAGAATAAAACCTAAGGATTTGTCTGTTTTTAACAGTCTGTTAAAGTAAAAAATAGTTGCTACTTTATTTAAAAAAATATGTTTGGACTTATATGTTATTATTTTTTGTAATTATTTTATAACTGTATATTATAATCATTTTGTCAAATTGTATCATGGACTTTTATTATTACAAAATGTTTTGTAATTATAGTCAATTATTTATTTTGTAAATATGTGCTTCTTTATTTCAAGAGTTTTTGAAAAGATAATAAATTTAGAAAATATTTATGAATTTTTATAAAAAATAAAAAAAACTTATGAACTACATGGATTATATTTACTTATTATTTTGTTCTTCAGGGTGAAAGAGAGTCATTTGAGCGTTATTACAGAAATCAAAGAAAGCAGCAAGCCAAATTAGCTTTACAACCATCCACAAATATGGTAACAATTCTTTTATTATTTTTTGTAGGCATTTGTTCGATAAAATAATCACAAGTATTAAAAAAAAAGTATGATTACTATAAATATTTAGCTTATATGATGAATATTTGCAAGTTCTAATTTGTCTTAAATGCTTATGTTTTCTTAATTCGATATAATGAATTTTTGAAGTACTAAGAAGATTTTTTTTATGTGTTATTTTTTTTGTTGTTCCATTATGTTAGATTAAAAAAATAATTTTAGATTGTCAATAATTTTCTTTAAATTTCACCATTGCTTTTAAGTTTATGCTTTCATTTCCAGTTAATTTTTATGTAAATATTGTATTTCAGATTTCCATTGTTTAATATATCATAATTTAATTATGTATTATTGTTTTAATAAGTGTTATATAGTTCTGTGAAAAAAAGATATTCATCAGTACTTAGTGTTTTATTTACATATTTTTATAGTAAATTAATTTCAAAATTCCAAACTGAGTATATTTTGGAAAAGCATACAGTCATATCAATTATACACAAAACAAAAGTTTCACACGTTCCTTGTTAAAAAGTTACAAACTTAAGGGTCTTAAGGAAGAGGAATTTTTACCTCCAGTCAGAAGAAAATTGTCCTTGAATAAATGTATAAAAATTTTGTTAAGTGAATATTTAATATGAAATCCTAATTTAAGTTTAAGACAGAATGAATAAATCACATTTTCTTACCTTATTAATCATATTTGGTTACTGTAAATGGTAAAAATTTACATTTTGGTGCCTCTCTTATTTGGCTACTTTTTAATATTCTAACAGAAATCAAGGATTATGACTTAAAAGTTAAGTTTTTTATTAATAAGAAATGAAAATAGAAATAATTGTAAAACATGAGATTTTACTTAAAAGCTCCAAGGTATGATGCTCAGTCCCTGAGGCAACCAATTCTATACAACCCACAAAATTTCAGTTTTTAAAATTCTCTCTCTTTTCTCATTAAATTTTAGATATTGAGATGCATTTAAGCAAATATGTACAGTAAACTCCCGATTATCAGCAGGCAGATCATTCGTTAATAACCATACGTTTTTGCCTCGAAATGTTACAGCTCTAAATCAGCCCATGGATCAAGGTGTAACTGTGTCAATGAAAAAAAAAAAAAAAGTACCTAACAAACTTATTATTAAAAGGGGATTAAAGAGGGAAATAATTTTATGATTTTCGACTGCATTCATGACATCGCTGCTTGGGAGTCAGTAAAAAGGTAAACTTTAACAAAATCTTAGAGAGAAATTTATACCGAACGTAAAAAACACTTTGGAAGAACTTTTTGATGAAGAGAAATGTCTGCTCTTGATTTGACAATTTTCGTAAGAAATGTTTCAGGAAGAGAAAATGTAGATGAAGGAAACATCCAAGAATGATTCAATTGTGATACAAGTGATCAGGGGATAAAACATTTTAGTGATAAAGAAATTTCAGATAGAGTATTAGGTGCAAATGAAAATTAGAGGAAGTAGATCAGAGTTGAAAAAATGAGTCATAATACTGCTCTAACACTTATTAAAGGACTAATCCAATACATAGAAGAGCAAAATGATGTGACACTTACAAAATTTTGCTAAAAAAATCTATAATCAAAAATAGAGAACAGATGTTTCAACTCCAAGAAACAGAAAAAGATTTTTTCATGCAGAAATTTTAAAAAAATGTAAAAGAAAATGTGAATAAATCTGCTATCTAATAGATATTAAAATATATAATTTATATTTAAAAAAAATTGATGATTTTCTGCGAATTTGCTTACCAGCGCTTTGTGGGCCACCCAATTCCGCAAATAATCTAGAGTTTACTGTATTCTGTACTTGGTATATAATTCTCTTAAGTTCTCAAAAAGCTTGAATATTCTTCATTCTTTTACATCTCAATAATATCATGAATTATCTTTTTCATATGAAAATATCTATGCATGTATATATTTTATGTTCCTGTGTTATGTAAATGCTTAATGGAAGCTTTTATCTGTTCCTTTTATTCTCAAAAAAGGTTTTGAATTCTTAAATTTTAAGTATTGATTTTTTTTTATGAAAATGAACTTGAATGGTTTTGTTGAATGTATCTCTAATATAAAATATTTATTTACATTTGCCAATTAAGCACTAAAGTTATACTTATAATAAATTCTGACACTGTAATATTTTAAAGTATGTCTATGTATTAAAAATATATTTTACAATATATATTAATTTTTGAAAATGTCTTGACTTAAAATTAATTTAAAATATGGCTATTAGTGTCATAGCATAAAGTTAATTTTGAAATATTTTTATTCATTTATTGATTTTTCTTCTTGCTAATAGTGTAATTTATTATTTAGAGTGAAACCATTGATGGATATAGAAACTATTTTAGTGGTATTGTAGGGTAAGTATACTAAATTGTATTTCACTCTTTTTTTCAATTTGAAATGAATGTTTATTTGCTGTTTTATTTATTTGAAATTGTTTTAAAGGTTTTTCATTGTTGAGGATCATGTTTTGAATACTGGAAATGGACTTGTAAATAGAGCATATTTAGATGAGGTGTGGTCAAATGCATTATCAAAAATTGTCGCTTCCTTAAGGACTCCATCAGTGAGTATGCTTATTGTTATTTTGTAATAACTTTCAAATTTTAAAAAGGAAACAAAACATGTAAATAATTACCCTTTTATGTAATAATTATAGTTTATTTTTCTCTCTCTTTAGGATTGTTCTACAGATACATCTCTTATGTTACAATTAAAGTGGTTAATAATGCTATTCAGCTACACACTTAGAGTATGTTGGATATTTTTATTTATCAGTACAAAATTTCTGTAACCTTTCTTTTCTGTGTATTTCTTTTTGTATTGAAGTATTCTATGCACTACTAAATTGAAGTATTCATTATTTCAATAAATATTCAACGATGCATTGTTCTTTTTTTTTACCAAAAAAGAAGGGGAAAAAATTCCTTTTTTTTTTGAACTGTTAAAGTATATCCTTTGAAAGTTTAGTAAAAGTATGTATGTTAACCTAAAATTAGTTTAGAATTAAATGTAAGAAAAGTAGTAAAAATCCTTTTTTTTCCCTTTAAAAAAAGAAAGAGGAAAAGTAGATGAAAGTAAAAATTTTTCTCAGATTTTTAATCCATTTAAATTATTATTTATTTATTTCAATTATGATAGATATACATTTAACATTAAATTAATAATTGTTTTCTAGATACATACATAGATATGTATGTCTGTGAGTGCGTGTGTAGATCTGTACTTAAATTTTTTAAATCATAGATTGATATGTATCTTCTATGTGTTTTTGATTAGAGAATGGGTGTTAGCTCTTCTGAAACCTATTTCCTATAATATTAATTGACAACACCTTTTATTAACTATTACTTTCGTTTTAATAACAGCACAGGGTCTGTTCATATTTTTTTTCTTGTTTCTTCTAAATATTTTCAATTGCTGCTTCATATTATTTGTAATTTACCAAAATTCCACTGTGACCAGTGTTAGCATCTTAATGTTTTTTTTCTTTTTCGTGTATCAATATTATGTATTCTCTCAAATGAAATTAATTACTTAAATGTTATTCCAATTTAAAATATTATGGAAAAGTTCTGTTCATTACGAGACCAACATTTCTTTAAAATAATCTTATTCTTTTGCATACTTTTTTTAGAAGATTCTCATAATTGAAATTTTTGAATAGAGCTTATTTTTTAAGCTATTATAATTCTTTTAAAAATGTATTAACTCAATTTCATTGAGCTTTTTTTCCCCATAATTTATTTTAGGATTATTGCTTAATTTTATTAATTGCTTAATAGCTATTAAGGAAAATTTAGATATTCATTTGTGTGTGTTATTTATTTATTTTTCAGGCCTATGGTTATACAGTTAATCAACTGTTTGAATTGTTGCTTGAAATTAGAGACCAATATAATGAGATGCTTATGAGAAAGTGGAATAAAGTTTTCAGAAAAATATTTGACTCTGATAATTATCACCCTATAGAAGTAGATAATCAAGATGCTTATGATGCTATTATCAGTAGGTTTCCATATCATGATGAAGAACTAATGTTAGTAAGTAAAAAACTTATCTTCAGCTTTTTATTTGTTTATTTTCATTTTTATCAATAAAATATTTTTATAATGTAATTTTTTTTTTTACATACTCTTCATTAATTAATGTTATATTTCATTTATTACAGTTGTATATTCATTCCCTGGCAGAAGTATTAGACACACTGTAGATTTTTAATAATTACACGTTTTGCACGAGTTTATATGCAATACATTTATATTTAAACGTGCATGTAATGGGATTTTATACAGGAGATTTTTTAAATACTTCTATTTGTATTAATTTTCAGCTTATTGCATTACAATGTTAACCAATTAATACATGATCGTAAACAAGTGAAAACCGGTTCCAGTTGGTTCTCGCATGCGTCAGTTGTGGGCGTGTTTCTGTGGCTTTATGCGCTGTGCTGTATTTATTTGTATTGCAGTTAAATACTATGCAGTTATTTGTTTATTTTGTGTGCATTGTTTAAATAATCAGTTGGAAACTTTTATCATGGATGCAAAAAGCGATCCTTTACCATGTAAAAAAGCTGTAAGCAAACGCCCTCTTGAATGCTAAAATATTTTCAAGCCATGAAATATCACAAAGATGAAAGGTTTCTGAAACTAGCATCTGATGCATGAAGGAAAAAAATTTAGTTGGGGGACAATTTTCATGTATGCAAAAAGTAAAAAACCATGTAAATCCTTTACCATGTAAAAAAGCTGTAAGCAAAGGCCCTCTTGAATGTTAAAATATTTTCAAACCATGAAATATCACAAAGATTAAAGGTTTCTGAAGCTAGCATCTGATGCATAAAGGAAAAAATTGAGTTGGGGGACAAATTGAGCCCGAAACGAAAGAAAAGATGCTACAGAATCTGAAAGTGCGTCTAATAATTTGGCAAGGTACTGTATAGTAGATATGTATTCCCCCCTCCCAAATATTTGCTTCTTTATTTTTTTAAGCTATAATGCACATTATATTTCATAAAAATATATAAATATTTAAATATAAAACTTGTTGACTATTATGCTAATTATGAAAGTTAGAAGCAAATGGTTAATGTTTTGAAAAATAAGAATTTTTATGCTATTCAATTCTACTTTCCTATGATTTAATGTCTTGAGGGATGGATGTCTCAAATAGTGAGCAAATCTTCAACCAACCGAATATTCAGTGTGATAAATACTAAATTTACCAAAACCAAAAAAACATAATGAATCCAAAGTGTGATTAAAGGAAAAAAAGAAATAGTAGTAAGAGTTTAGTATTTGAAGTTATATGTTTGTAACAGCTGTGGTGACTTAGCGGTTGAGATAATGAGCCATTGTTGTGGAGGATTAGGAATTATCCCCAGTGGCTGCTTGAACTCAGCTTCAGTTTAATGGGAAGTAAAAGTGCCTGGTGCGCAATAATGACCATATTTCCTCCATCATGTCATTGGTCACAAAATTGTGAAACCCTAAACCTCTACGACCCCTCTGTCCCATTACTGACTGTTCGCGGCTGCTTTACTTTGAATGTATTTGAATAATATATGGGATTCTAAGTACTTGAACAATCTTATTATTCGTAAGATTCTGATAATTTGTAATTTTAACTATCTTACTTTTTTAAATGCATATAAATATAAACTGAAATTGATTTACTTTTTTTTTTCGCTTTACCTATTTATATTTGATGTATATATGGTAAATCTTAATTTTGTAGGCTCTCTTTCCTAAAAAGTTCCCATTTTCTGAATTTGTTCCTGAAGTATATGATCAAGTTAAAGAGTTTATTAGTGCTTGTTTAAAATTTTCTCAAGACTTGAATCTCAGGTAAAATGTATTTCAGTATTTTAATTTAATTTAATGTGAGAATTGTTATTTTTGGAAGCAACACCTGTAAAATTGTTGTTTTATTTGTATTTATCGGTTAATTTTTTAAAAATGTTTAATGTGTTGTTTTTTTCCTCTTACAAATAGGATATGTTGTTAAATGTTTTGACTAAATCTTTGCTTTCATTTCAAATATGAAATGATTAACTGTTAAAAGCATTAAATATATTTTATTTTTAAAAAATATTATGTATTTTTGCTTTATATTTTTCTTAAAGCTACAAGTATGCTTTTGCTTTGGAAGGTAAAGAATTCTTAATTGTTTCATTTTCTACTGTTATAAAAATAGACATAACACTTCTTTTTAAAATATTTATTTATATTTTTAGCTGTGCAATCAAGTGTATTTCATTTGGCACTTTTTTTGATTCTGAAACATACATGAACTGCTATATTTTAAATTTTTTATTTTTATTTGTGTATATATATCTAATTTTTTTAATAATTGGTATGCTTTTTAGTAAGAAAATGTTATATTAAATAGTCAGATATCATAGAGTTAAGCATATTTTTACTGCATAAATTAATATTATCTTCCTATCAAAGGAAATCGCTGCGTTTGAAGTTAGAAAAATGTTTTATTTAATATTTAGATTGCTTTCAATAGATTGTATCCTTTAATAATTTTTTCTTTTCAAGTCAGTGGTGTGTATACAACTTATATTATATACAACAAAGAATGTTATTGTCTAATCTGTAATATGGCAGATTGAATTTGTAGTGGCTTTCTTAACTTTAAAGTATTAGTAATATTTATATGTTCACTTTTTTAGTCAAACAGAAGTTCAAGATATGGTTCGCAAATCAACCAATTTACTGCTAACTACTACTCTTAGTGGATGCTTGTCCAATCTAATAAAGAATTCAAACCTTGGACTTTTACAGGTAATTGCACTTTATAATAGATATTTAAAATATTTCTACATATTTATTTAGTTGAAAGTAGTAAAAAAGTTGTTCAGCATATTAAAACACATTCAAACTGGTTTATTCTAAATTCTAATTTAAGGAGTACCTTAGTGTAAGGGGGAGATTTTTTAAAAATTGAGGTTAAAAACATAAAATAAAATTCTGTTATGATAATTTGATTATTTGAAGATTATTTTATTGGAAAAATCAGTAAAAAAAAAATAATAATTAGTTAAAAATAGCCTTTGTTTCTACTTCATACAAAACTCAATCTAATTTCCTCTAAATATGCCCTTTTATGCGACCAAATTTATTCTAATTTGTTTAATAAAAATATAGCAAACAAGTTATTAATTGCAATCTTTTTTTCCCCTTCCAGCTGATACAAATCACCATCAACACAAACCACCTGGAACATGCTAGCATATATCTTGAAGACTACATATCTACAATTACAGGGTAATTAATTTTATTATTTTTAATTCTTGTTTTTATTTTGTTGCATTCTTTATTAGTTATATTTTTCAAATTGATTTTTTAAAATTGGATCATACTAAGATTATTTTTGAGTTTGAAAAATTTAATTTACCAAATATTAATAATTATATATGTAAAATTATCCTATGTAATCATATAGTTTTCTGTAATGTGTTTACTATTAAATTTTTACTAATAATGACTATTGCTTTTTATTTCATGATATTTTACAGTGTTTAAATATTTTACTAATCTTATAGAATATTCCTCAATTTTAATATGTAAAGAAATATTTAACGACTATCTATAAAATTTAAACAATTACCGTCAAACCTATTGATACTCAGATGCAAAGGAAAAAAAAAAAGAAATAAGGAGGTTTTGAATTATAGGCATGAGGAAAAATAAAGTTTGATCTCTAAATATTTTGCAGACATCAATAACATTTTTTTAAAACAAACATACCCTTAATGCTAAAAATAATCTTTCAATGACTTTTTTTTTAGATCTTAAATTTCTCTGTTTCTAGTAGCTTTCTTAGGTTAGCAACAACTTTCTTAGGCTAGCTGCTAATCACTTATTTCCAATATTTTACTGCTATTCATGAAAATATTTTAAAAGTTCTACGGTCTTCTCTGATTCTGTTGCTGGATTTTTAGGTCCATCGGTATGACTTATGGACATTGATTTCTGTTTAGCATCCTCAAAAATTAAAAATGCAGTTTTTTTTAAAGAAATTTTTTTAAGATAAGCTTGAAAAATACATTGGGCATAGGTTGTAAATGTAGGGAATTTCAGGAAATTAAGAAATATAGAATTTTTTAAAATAGATAGGCTCAACTGTATTAGCATTTACTTTTTAAATATATATATACAGTATACTCTTGACTTGATATCTCGAAAAGCTTGTTATGTCAAAAAAGTATTTTTCCGCTTGGCATTCCTCCCATCCACCTATAATGTTAATTTTAATTCATATGTCTGAGGGTTTCGTCTCAAAACCTTGCTCTGTCGAATTTTTTTCGAAATGAAAAATGCATTTTTTTTCCCGGAAAAATCAGGAAGTAAATTCATTGTAAATCAATTCTTTACTATTTAATACATAATTATTTTTGTCTTACTTTTAAATGTAAATACATTAAATAATTCTTGCATTTAGACTTTTAGTCAACTTTCATTATATACATATTTATTTGTAGTTATTTTTATGTTCTATGACTCTACTTTTTAGACCATGAATATGCTATATCGAAAAACATCAAAAGACATTCTATAATACATATATAAATAATGAAATATGTGTGATTTTTCTATAAATCACTGCTTACTCATTTTTTTGTTAAGAAAATAATAAGCCAACAGTGTTTTGAGTTCTAAAGTTATTAGATATACAATGTTTGGATTTTGAAAAGAAGGAGCCTGTGAAAAATATAACAACATGGGAATAAAATAATTTGAACACTTTATGAAGCAATCTTTTATCTATATATATACACACAAATTTGTTTTCAGTATTCTTTTATTGATTGCCCGTGTTTAAATTAGTGTGAATTATATGGCAAAATTATATTTTTATTCATTAATATGCACTTGTGAGAATATTGTTATTTTTAAAATTTTTCTACTTTAGTTCTCAGTATATGATATGTTGTACTTTTTCACTTTTCTTTAGATCAACTACTGAATCTTTTCATGTTGCTAAACTACAAAGTTGTTCTATGTTTAAGGTAAGAGACATGTTTAATATTTAAATATTATATAAATATTTATGTTGAAGAATATTGTGGTAAAATATGTTTTGGTTTGTTCTGAATACTTAATTGAAATGTTATTTTGAGTCTTTCTAGCGGTACAATCTTAATTGTTAGTTTTTTTTATATTTTGAAATTAATCAATAAAATNATTTTTTTTTTTTTTCTCCAAGGTCAAGAAAACTGAGATGGGCACAGTAGGCCTTGGCCTTCTATGGGCTGTCGCGCCACTGAGTTTAGTTAGTTTAGTATATAAATATTTATGTTGAAGAATATTGTGGTAAAATATGTTTTAGTTTGTTCTAAATACTTAATTGAAATGCTATTTTGAGTCTTTCTAATAGTATAATCTTAATTGTAAGTTTTTTCATATTTTGAAATTAATCAATAAAATTAAATTTATTTCCTTGTCTTGTGATTTCTCTTTTAAAAACCATTTTGTTTTAGGATGCACGAGCTGATGCTGAATCTCAGATTTATGAAAAATTGAATGAAAAGATAGATGAATTTTTAGAATTGGGTATGATGATTATTTCTTTGATTGTTATTATTTATTTAGTTAATTTTTCCATTGAAAATGCATTTAATTTTATTTTGTTATAGCAAACTATGATTGGTTGCTTGGGGAACCAGAAGGGCAAGCAAGCAGTTATCTAACAGATTTAATAGCATTTCTGAAGAGTACTTTTGAGGCTTTTACTAATCTTCCTGTAAGTTATGTTTCTTACTACTATTATTTTAGCCTTTATTAAGCTTATTATTTTCTAATTTCTAAAACTGAGTTAAATTTTTTTTTTATTTATAAAAGTTTTTATTTGAACTAGGCTATTTCTTTTCTATTTTACTTACTTGGACGCTATATCGCGGGAGAAACTTTTCATTGCAAATTCTGTTTCACCTCCATAACTATTTTAAAATATAGAAAAAGCGAGAAAGTTGAAGTATATTCTCTACTGAATGCTAAATATTATTTTCTGCTGAAGGGGTTTTGTTTTAATTTAAATCATTTTTAACCCTATAAACTTGCATTTATTTTTGTAACTAGAATTTTTATTTATTTTTTAAATTTAATTCTATGAACAAATTTTTAATGTTAAAATTTATGTTTAAATGGACCTTTGTATTATTTAATGTGATATTGAATTTTTCCATAGTTTTTAATTATTGAAATTTATATATATATATTTTTTTTTAATAATTCTAATTTTTGGATTCTTTTTTTTTTTTTTTTTTTTTTTTTTTTTTTTTTTTTTTTNTTTATTTTTTTTTTTTTTTTAAGTAATTGGTTTTGAAGTATTTAATTATAAACATTTCAAAGTATTTAATTTTATGCAAAGATGTTACAAGGTTAAGTGTCAAAAATAATTTAGTGCCTAGAACAATGATGTTTATATAACAATTACTACTACCTACAATTGGTGTCAATATGCCTGACTAAATACTTTGGCATGCGGCCCTTCATTGGTCAATCTCCTGTGCATGCGGCCCTTCACTCGAAAAAGATTGTGCACCCCTATCATATAGTGTCCTAAGATGTTTTTATTTTCATAAATCTTGCTGTAAATTTTTGTTTTTAATAGTGAAGTATTACTGACATAAAATATTTTAATTTGTTGGAGAAAGTGAACATTTTTTGTAATTGTTTTTATTTTAAATTCTTTATCATGTACTTTTGAAATTTTCAATTTTATTAAGTGCTACAGTTTAATTTTTGAGCCTTTTTATAGTTCAGTAATTTAATTTCTTTAAATTAATTTATACTGACATGAACAAATATTTCTTTCCTTATTAAATAGTTTTAATGATTTTTTCATTATACTTTTTTTTAAAATCTGTTTTCTGTTTTATTTCCCCTAATTTTCAGTTTTATTCTTTCTCTAGTTCGTAGTGAAAAATGACTTATGTAAAAAATATGCAGTCTGTTTTTTATATTATTTATATTTNAACCCAACTAAAAAAAAAATATTTGGAAATAATCTTAAAAAGAAGAAAAAACGATTAAGTAATACACTAATGATTATTTCCAAAATGATGGTAAGGTAAAAATCTTTCAAAAAAGAAATAAAAATCCTAAAATCTTATGAGGAAAAAAACATTTTTTTAGAAAAATGGTGGGAAAATTTATCAATTTCGTTCCGGTTTTTTGGTTTTCCGGTTTACTGACTTCCGGATAACGGGTTCTGTACTGTATTTTCATGTATGTTGCTGTGAATTTTTGTTTTTATTAGTGAAGCATTACTGACATAAAATATTTTAATTTGTTGGAAAAAGTGAAAATTTTTTGTAATTGTTTTTATTTTAAATCCTTTTTGAAATTTTCAATTTTATTAAGTGTCTACAATTTAATTTTTGTGCCTTTTTATAGTTCAGTAATTTAATTTCTTTAAATTAATTTATGCTGACATGAACAGATATTTCTTTCCTTATTAAATAGTTTTAATGATTTTTTCATCATACTTTTTTTTAAAATCTGTTTTCTGTTTTATTTCCCCTAATTTTTAGTTTTATTTTTTCTCCAGTTCGTAGTGAAAAATGACTTATGTAACAAATATGCAGTGTCTGTTTTTCATATTATTTATATTTATGCATTTATCTTTGTTGTGCTATTATATATTTATTTTTGATGTAGACATAAAATTATTTTATTTGCAGGATAAAGTGGCTCAAACGGCATGTATGTCATCATGCAAACATATAGCAAATGCTTTGATGGGTTTCCTATTAGATAAAGAAGTGAAACATATTTCCCTTGGAGCTTTGCAACAATTCAATCTTGATGTTATGCAATGTGAACGTAAGGGATATACAATTATTATTTTGAAATTTAGATTTTGTATGTTGCACAACTAATTAATTTAAAAAAGAGTTTAAAAGTTACCCTACAATTTTTTTGGAAAATAAAACATATTTCCGTAAATACAAAATGTTCAAAACCCTTTTTTGTTATTGTTTTATTTATTTATTTTTTTGAAAAATATATTTTGTTGAGTTTTAACAATATTAATCGATAATAAGTTTTATCATTTAATAATTTTATTATTTATTAATAATTTATTTCGTCTCCTAATAAGTTTACTCATTGGCTAGTTTGCAGAATACTAGTGCACAGAAAATCTAATTTGAGTAGCTGGTGATAGATAAATAACAAAGCTGATAATGTGTTCATGAGTAATCAGGAATTAATTGTATATAGGTTATTTTTATACTGTACACTTAATCCTCTAGAAATATGATATAAACTTGCTGATGATATCATGATATACATTTCTTATATTCTGTTTTTGCATTGGATTTATTATTGAATTGCAAATACATTTTAAATATTATATTTTGCATTGAATATTTAAAATCTAATTGCATTTATAATTTGTTAAATTCGTTTTTCCTTGCAAATAAGTAGGGAGAAGGCCATATTTCAAACCTTAAATGTGACTATTATAGATGTACCAGGTCCTAAAATTTTGCCAGGTCTGGGCAATTAGTAAAAATTGTATCTTTAAGTTGTCCCGTTTTGGGTACCTGGCTAAAGTTTAATTCATTACCTGGCCGGTTCCAAGGTACCGGTAAAATTTGCTTCCAGGTATTACAAAATTTTTGCAAAACAATATAAAATTTGTATTATTTTCTATTGAACAAATATTTTACAAGATATAGTGTAGAAGAAATTTATTATACTCCTATGTAAATAAAAACATGTTTTTATTTTTACATTTTTTAAAATTAATTTAAAAACTAAGCTTTTGAAAAGGTTTCTAAATGAATTTTGCAATTACTTTTGGATGTAAAATAATTATCTGAGAACTTCGTTTTGAACTGCAGACATCTGCTAGTAGCGACCTTTATTTAATTGATTAACTTTTCATTTGATTTACTTACAATTTCATTAGCGTAAATATAACTGCTGTTAAACGTAGGATATTTTTAAGATTTTTTTAGCAAAATGACCGTAATTTAAATTAAAAATGTTTTACCTTAGCAATATTTATTTTTTAATCATCCCATAATAATGAAAGTAATTTAGGTTCCCGGAAATCTACTTTAGTTAACCTCAGTTAATTTGTTAAACGTTTAGATACTCGATGAGAAATAATATCTTATAACCGATTATGAGCAGAATATTCATAGAATGCATTTGCTATCCTTAATGTTACACTTCTGCTTCTGCATCCTAGTAATTTTAAACTTCCTAATATAGATTAATTCCTAGATCAAGTTACATATAAGGAGCAAGAATGTTTTCAAGAAAAACTTTTTCTGTGAAACAAATGCGTAATATGTTTTTAAATTACACAAAGAAAAGAAACATGAAAGCTACCGATGATAAGATTGAATTTATTGAGTCATCAAGTAGGAAATCTACCTAGTAGTATGAAATTTTGCTTAAAGTTACTGATGACCAATTTTATTCACACGTGCTTCTTTTTAATATAAAAGTAAATCATCTCATCTGAAAATTTAATGAAATGTTTCCAAATGACCTTTTTGTTAAATCTTGTAAAAATAATATTTTTTAAAAATAAGAAACTACATTGAAAGAATTTATTAATTTTTTTTTTGTTAAAACAATTGGCTCGGTTTTATTATGCGCTTTTATTCACTTGGAAATAAATCTTCAGTGATGTCAAAATTATGTATGGCATTAGAATAATTAATGTGAAATTTGTAAGAAAATACTTATGTTTTGTTAGCAATTGTTGTCCATTATACTTCTATTGCTTTGCTTTCGAACCTAAATAAAAAAAACATGTTATTGCATTTATTCATTTGCTATAAGCAAACTTAGTAGGAAAATAATATAAATGTAGTATATTTTTCTACAGTTATCTTTGAATTTTAAGAATTATGATTTTCTTTATTTACTTTGAATAAATATCAATATAACTCCCTATTTCTAATTTTGTATTTATTTAACTATCATGTTAATTTGGTTAAAATTGTTTCCTGCATAATATTTTTGAATTTCCTTGTTTTTTTAAAAATCTTTTTACCCTATATGGACCCCTTTTATTTGCGAACAAATTTTTCTGTTCTAAAACTGCACATTTTATCAAGTTTTCCCTGAAATTAAATTCTATTTAAGAGTAAAATATGCTGCGTCTGTACTAGTTATTTCAATTTGATTAATAAGAAACTGATGGAATACATGGATTTTCAAAACTATAATCAGTAGTTTTTAGATTGCTTTAAATCTGAATATGGCTGTGTTGAACAAAAATGAGTGTTACCTGGTTTTGGATACCTGGTAAAATTAATCAGGTACCCAGTACCTTGTCTTCAGACTAAGAACCATGCCCCTGTACCTGGTACCAGGTTGTGAAATTTTTATTACCAAGCCTGAGTGATTAAAATCTGGCTTGGTCGGCCGCATACCGTGTAAGTGCCTGGCACCCAGTTCATCCCTAGTAGTAAGGAATTTAGTGTCATAATTGTTAGTATTTTATTATTTAATAATTATATTAATAAAAATTTTGTTTACACCTTAGTTTTAAGAAGTCTGATTTATATTTTATTTTTATTTTGTTAAAATGGATGAAAAGTTTTAAGATTTTTTTTGTATATATTCGCTTTATTTCTCCATATATCATGCTATTTCTCATATTATGTTTTACGAAAAATTTATTTGTAAGTATGATTAAAAACAATGATTTAATTTTTTCATTTTGCTCTTTTTTTTTGCAGTGTTTGCCAACTGTGTACCTGTTAGAAATTTTGAAGAAGGAATTCTACTTATGTGTTTTGCTGAACTACGGCAGGTATAATACTTCTGCCATTATTTTTGCCATTATTATCAAATTTATTAATAACAATAATTTATTATGTCCAAATATAATCGAATTTAACAATAACAGGATTTTATATTAAGATCATTACTTCATAAACTGCAAATCGATCGATTTAAAAATTTATCAAGGTATCTCATTCAATTTCAAAATGTATATTTTTATTGCATAATCCAAAATAAATTTGAAGATTTCAGAAAACTTATAATTAAACTTAATTATTTTCTAATCTGTGGGACTACTTATCTACTACTTCTTCCCCATCTTTTTAGAAACATGTGAGTCTTGCTCTGCTAAAAATTGAGAGGTCTTCAGAGACACAAGTCAACAACTGTCCCCCATCTCTTTTTCATTCCTTTTAATAATGAGCGCTTCTCAGATAAGCTGTGTGTTATTACTCAAAACAGTTAGCAATTGTTAATCAAAGTAGTTATCATCATTAGTTAGTAATCTAACCAAAACAAGTATTTTTTCTTTAATTTGAAAAGGAACATTGTCTTGTAAATACATCAGATGGAATTTTATGTAATTGAGTATTTCCAAGAAGCATTTGCTTTAATTTTTATGGAAGATTATTTTTATGTTTTGTTGGGATAAATCCCACAAATTTAAAATTAATGAAATTATTTGCTCAGCTACTCTAAAAGAATAGGACAAATTTCTTTAATTTAAGACGGGTCTTAATACCGTAAATTTCTATATTTTTAAATGCTTCTCTTCTAGTTTCTTATCTTCCTTGTCAAAATTACCACTTTTAAACTGTCAATAGTCTCTAAAATTTTAATTTTTTCTTTGACTAGTTTTTGAGATTTCTTTATACTTTTTTGTCAGAAATATCTACAAATAAATTTACAAGTCTGTTTAACTTTGCCTATATTATTTAAAATACACAAAATTTAGTAGTTTAAAAATATATTACAAGGTAATAGAAATAATTATAATAAAAAAAAATATGTATATATTTTATATACTTAGGGCATTTGGTTTCTTTTATTTATACATTATAATGTTATAAAAATGATACATTTGTTTAAATTTTGCAGGTTTTAGACCTTTTCACTGACTGGGATTGGTCAAATTACTTCCGAGAATATGGCCAGGAAACTAGCAAATATTTAAGAGTGAATCCGCATACTGCAATAATATTATTAGAAAAGTATGTAAAATGTGAAGTTCATTTTATCTTCAAATTTTTTTTAAATAGTCTAATGTTTAAATTTGATAGAATAAAGTGTTTATTTTGTGTCCCATTCTTAATTTTGTTAAATATTATTTTTAAATGTTAATATATGTACTTTCTGGGTAATTATGTATTTATTGTGTTTATTCATGTATACACAGATGTTTTAAAATCCAAGACACTTGCCACAGTGCCTAATATTTTAAGCAGAATTTAACCTGTTTTTTAAAAAGAAAGAAAAACCGAATAATTTTAAGCTGCTGGCAACTAGAAATTATGAATATTTGTTAACCCCTGTGTATATGTCTAGCTGGTTGGTATAAATTATAAAAATATTTTAATTGCATTAGCTATTTTTATTTCTAAATAAAGTTTCTACAGATATATTTTTTATATATCATAAAGGTTATTTGTTTTTGAAACCAAAAAATCTCAAACTGTGATTACAATTGCATAGACTAGTGTGTTAATTCATCTCTAAATACCCAAATAACTTGTTAGTTTTACATTAAAAAAATTGTAACTATATTAATATTCAATAATAGTATTTTCCATAAATTTTTACTGTATATAAAATTAAGTTGTTAAATTTTCTCTACAGAGTTCGAGAAGCAGATAAAAAGAAAAACATATTCTCAGCCTTAAAGAAGAATGAAAGAGATAAGAAGAAACTATTAGAAACTGTGTTAAAACAACTTCGACAGCTTACTACAAATGGTGCTGCTTAGTACTTTACTTTTTCAGAACTCAAACTTATTATTTTAGTAATTACTGATATGAAAACAATGCTTGTCTTTGTTATAAATATCTCCTGCATTGTTTTTATGAAATTAGAAGAGATTTATTTTTAAAAAAAGCATGTTTTTGATATTTTCTTTGTGTACATTTTTTGTGATTTGTTTTAATTTAAAGTATAAACTTATGAATTTATTTTATACTGAAAATAATGTTTCATTATCCTATCTTAGAGTCTTCTTAATATGGCATTTTAAACTTGGCTAAATTATTTCACTGAAATCTTAACGTACTGGCGGTTTTGACATTTTCATTTTTTCTGCTTCCAAATTTTCATACTTTTTTATATTCAACTGTGGTTTCAGCTACTTCCACCTGTCCTCCAATCACAAAGCTATGGTATGAAGGATTATTTTTCTCCTAATTCTAAATTGTCTCTTATCTAACTTTAGATTGGTGGGTGTTTCCCCCTGTCTAGATAATTGTTAGTTGGTCGAAAAGGAAGTGAGGTTTTTCATTTAAGTGCAGAACCGTCTGTGTGTTAAACACCTAAGACTCCTAATTTTCCCACGCATACTGAAGTGCAAAATAAAATTTATTAGAATCACTAAAGTTTGATAGTCTGATAATTTATTAGTATAAATTAATGCTTGAAGCACTATAACAATAAGCCATAATTTTCCTTAAGTGGCATTTATGTGTTTTTAGTATTGTTTCCAGATTGACATTTTACAAATAAAATTTAAAATAATATGACAAAAATATTAATAACAATGTCACATAAACAGGCATACAATCAATTCAGTATTGTATGAAGCACCTTTTTCAAACACACTATGAAATAAAAAAAACATAGAGGTGCAGAAGAAACTATTGACAAGTTACAACAAGAACAAATTGGATTGATCAACAGTATAGGTAGTTAACAGCAGGTTGAAGATTAGAGGGGGAAAATGTGAATATCTCTTACTTATGTTGTTGGCTATTCTAATCTTCAACTCTGGTTGACTATTTAGTTTCCCTACTCTGTTGCTTAATTTTTTTAAAAACTTGTTTGTAATTTCTCTTGTATTTCTATGTTATTCTCTTTTGTTCATTGTTTTGATTCTATAGAAGGTGCTTCATTATAGGAATAAAAGAATTGTATGTCTATATGACATTGTGTGTTTTTTTATTTTTGCTTTAATTATATGTAGCTAAGTTATGGGTTAGAAAAAAAAGTATATAATATGCACACATTTTACACTTCTTTACCTTGTAATTTACACGTTTTTGAAATTACTACTAATTAACACTTTAAATAGAAGTATCTTATTGCCCACCTGAAAATTTAGTATTTTCACTTCGAACACTCTTTAGATCAATTAAATAATGTGGCTTATCATTATGTGGCAGCTACAACCATTTATTTTTAAATAAAATTGCAAATGAATGATTTTGTGTTAACTAAATTCCTTATCATGTAAAGATTATTAAAACTAAATGCAAGAAAGCCTTATAAGGCCTTGTTTAATAAAGGTTATAATGTATTGAAATTATTTAATAATATAAATAATTCTTTCAATAAAGTCAAATAATCATTATAGACATGCTTCTGCCTTGAGTTAAAATATGTTATGTATATGATTGTCTGCACGATTATCTACATCTATTTTAACATGATTGTGTACATGTAAAAATCAATGTTGTGTGCATTGGAGGATGGGGAGGCTACTCTCTGTTCACCGTGAGATGAGTTTCTTTTAGTACACATTGAAATCCTGAATATTTATTAAAAAATCATAGACTGAAAAACAAAGCTATGCAATAAATGAGCTTCCTATCATCAGGCAGATTGAAATCCAATGGGAAAAAAATGGATTATAGCAGAAACATTAAGGGATTTTTATCCTCAATTATTTTTCTAGCTGATAAGGGAAAGCTGTTTCTTCCTATGATGTGTTGCTGTAGTTTTCTTTGTTTGGTGTTATTGTAAGTTTTTATAGATATTGATGTTTCACATCAGTTTTAAAGCACCTGATTGTCTGAGAATTTGTTATTGTAGGTGTAAGCAATTTTTACTGACTACCATCACGTGTGGTCATTATTCAACACCATCATCTTCTGTTGTTAGGAACTCATATTAAGGGTGGACAGAACATTCTGTTTTCATTATTATTTTTTTCCTAAAGAAATTTATAATTTTTTAAAACTATTTTGATCAGAGAAATTATTTATAAAAAGTTTACTAATAAATTTATGATGTGTGTATTTAGTGCAATAAAAAAATAATTATGTTTTTCTTGATAGCATAACAAAGCAATAGAATTATAACTAATATTAGTAAAATAATTTTGGATATCCTAATTACTTTATTGTGTTGATTGCTATATTATTTAGTGGATAGTGATAAACTGTGGTTAAATAGCTACAGTTAATAATTTGGTGCTAAATGCTTTTATATGCCTTAGTTTTTATTCTTAATGCAGTGCTGTGAGCTTTAACATAATCTGTACTAATCAACGATGTAAGTGAATGTTTGACATGTCTTGCAATTGGTAAGTGATACATCATTTATTCATTGTGCTCATACTGATGTGAATAATTTCACACTTGTATTTATGTGTAGTAATACTTAACTATTTATTATTGATGCATTGATTGCTCTGCTCCAAAGATAATATTAGAATGTAAAATATATTTCTCATAATTTTGTATATATGTAAAGTGTTATTAATGTAATGCAAACAAATGTTTTAAGAATAGGATTATTTATCAAACACTGCCAGGTGAAATATAGAAAAATGGCTTTGAAAAGATTGTTTCATTAAGAATGATGACTTACTACAAACAATCTATCCAAAATTGGTGATATTGTTAAAGAAAAATGTTGGCAGTTAAAAGTGTAAAAATTACTTTTACTACACTATTTTGTTACTAAATGACAGATATTATTTATACAGCTTCGAAATTTGTTTAAAATAAAGTATTTAATAAAAGTAGTTTGCTTTTTTTTTTCATAATTTCAGAGATTTTATAAATTTGTACAAATACATTCTTAACATATATTATTAAATATGACCTTAAATTATTTAAACCCTAAAATTCAAATTATCAATATATATGTATCTATATATTTTATTGAAAATCTCTAATTTCAATTTTAATAAGACATAAATGAACACTATATTATATAAAAGAACAACCTATTGAAATTTATACTAGGTGTTTCAAAAATGACCCCTCATTTGAAAAACCAAATCAATAAAAGAAAAATGCTACATTCTGTAACTTATTGAAAATGAAAGATCTTTTCCCTTTAAGTTATAAACTTTTTTATAAAGTTCATCGTCAGATAAAGCTGTAACTTTTTAAATATATATATACATATATGTTTTCAAAATAACCACTCTTTTCTTCAACAATGTGGTTCAGTCTAAGAATACAATTAATGTATACTTGTCCAAATAATTTGAATAGAAACAGATTGTCTAAGAACAGAAAACATTGTTTTATAATATCTTCAGTTAGCAACCACATCTGTAAACAACTCTTGTAACTAATGTTGAAACTAGAAATAGAAAATTTTTGTTTCCTCAGCAGAACATATCAAATCATGCATTTTAATCTTCTATTTTTATTTTCCGAATTTTCTATCAAATTTAAGGTGATATGTTAAACAAAAGATTATAAATTCTAGTAAGACTGAGAGTTGAAAGTTTGTCTTTTACTGTACATTTTTCAATAATTGGTATTTTACATTGAAACTCAATAGCCATTAAATTTTTCATTTCTTTTAAAAAATTTGCTAGAATAAAAAGCAATTTAAATGCCAGCATAGGAATAAGAAATCATAGAAATTATATTTTATTTATCTTATGAAGCATTTTTTATTTATTTATACAATACATTTACCTTTTTAAAGAATGAAGATAATGTCTACATTCAATAGAATAAACAACTTTTTAATTTTCCTCTTTTGAAATTGAATATGATAATAGGCCTTTAAATTCAAATTTTAATCTGACTTTAGTAGTTTTTAAATTTTCTCTTAGGTCTAGTAGTAAGACTCTTATGAAGTTTTAATGCAGGTTGCTTGTTTTTTTTTTTTTAAACTGGTTGTAAACCCAAAATATTGAGTCTACAGTTCAATCACTGTTATAAAGAAAAATAATTAAAAAAAAAAAAAAACATTGCAAGGATAAAAAGAAAAAGCTTGAAATAAAGAATTTTTCAGAATATAAAATGTTCAGAATAATTCTATACACATGGGTTACATTTTCATTGAAAAAAGATAACTGCAGATTATTTTATCACCATTTGTTATATTTAGTCTCCTTCTGGCAGGGTTGCATAAAAGCTGATTTTTTCTGAAAACATCGTGGCCAGCAAGTTTTTAATAAAATTTTTTTTTTAAAAAAACTGGCCTTATTGGCTTTTATTTATTTTTATCTTATTATTTATAATAAATTTATGTTTACTTAAATTCAATTTATTGATTACTACTCAGTAAAAATTATCTCTTATTAAATCATCTTATTATCTCAGTTAAAATTATCTATCTATTTGTTATGATGCATACTGTCTAATATTGCAGCAAAAGGCAAAAATATGTTATTACAGCCAATTTTCAAAAACAACCTACAACAAATTATGTAATGGCACTTTGACTTCAAAGGTATTTACATGTTTTTAAGTTGCAAAAGTTTAATTTTTAGATGCTTTAAGTAAAACTTGTTTTTTTGAAATGTTATGAATAATTTTATTTTTTATATACAAATATTATGAACTACCAAAAAAGTAAAAAAATAGTTTCTAGGCAGTATTGAGCAAATGCCAGATCAAAACAAGTTAGTCATGTTCCAAAACATCACAGCTGAGTTTTAAATTGCTTCAGAATAAATATTTTTCAAAAAGTGGGCAAGATCAAGCATTTTCTATTTCCTTTATCAAGTATTTTCTGTAAGATTTATTCAAAATAATAATTAATATATATTGGGATTTAAAATTTGGGAAATTGATTATGATTCTAGGTAGTTTAATATAGTTGTTTTTCACACTTCTGAAATTTAAAGCTATTTTTTCAAACTATAAAGTCTCGAAAGTGCAAAACTGTTGAACCATATTGCTACTGTGATTAACAACTATGTGATTTTTTCATATCTCAGTTTTTGAAAAATATTTTGTTTTAATAAAAGCCAACTTTTATTTTAGCTGACCTTTTTATAGTTAAAAAAAAACTGGTTTTTATTTTATAGTTTGACTTTTATCTGGCAACCCTGCCTTGTGGACAGTGGCAACTGTTAATTTTGCCCTATAATAGGTTGACTTAGAAATGAACAGCTATTCAAATTAAAATTTAACTTTGCTAAATTAGCTATTAAGCTTGTGCTTTATATTTTTGATAAATTTTTAAATAATGAACAAGAATTTTTTAAGGGTTTGGGTTAATCTATGTCTAATTTTCACTTAATTTACACAATACTATGCAAAAACTAATAATTTCTTTTGTATTTAAAAACCTAATAAAATTTTATTAAAAATTTTTTGATTCTTAAAGTTTTGTCCTCTACATCTTATATTCCTACACCTTATAAGGTATTTATTTTTAAAATCAGTAGTCAAATAGTTAGTTAAATTTAGTCAAATAGTTTTAAAATAGAACTTATAAAATACAAAAATATTTCTAAAATTTATTAGCCATACAATGAGATATATAAAATTAGAAAAAAAAAATCAATTCAAACCACAAATTAAAAATTTATTTTATTCTAATAAAGCTTTTCCTTTTTGTTAAACAGTATTCACCTGCTCTAAGTATATACATTTACTTCATGCACAGCATGTAAAAGCATATTGATACTGAACTATCACAGCTCATTTACACTAATCACTTCAAATGATCACAGTTCTGTAGAATATAAGCTAGTATGTCATCAGCCACAGTCAAATTTCAGTCAATCATTATAAATATTACTGGAAATAAATTTTATAATTTTTTTGCTTATAAAAATTTACAGAATTATGGAAAATAAATGAGCATAAGGTTGTAAAATGATAAGAAACATCAAAATTTTATGTTAAAATAAAAACACAACTTTCAATGGATGGTGTTTTCAGTAGAAATGTAAACAATAGCAATCTCGAGCTCGACACCTACTCTAGTTCCGGTTAAAAAGTTTGCAGCTGCTTACTACATGTTATTCTGATAGGCGATGTTTTCAAACGGATAATTTTGTTTTCAATAAAAGAAATAAATTATGAAATATGGCAGATTTGAGCTCAGAAATTATCTAAGATATTAATGTTAATATGTAATTCTGGTGAGTTTGAAGTGAAAATTTGTTTTAGTTTTTTAGAGATATATTGTTAAAAAAGGTGACATGGTTGCTAGATTTTGAATAACTCGCTTTTTTGGCAGTCTTGATATAGCCTCTTTCCATAAGTTTATTACTGTTAGTTCTTGTTGCAAGCTGTGCACCATCTTACGTTAGTGTTAACACTTTTAGCATTGTAAACACCAGTATTGTTAGCATTGTAAACAGAAGTAATAAATAATCAAATACATTGTTTGCAAGAATCTCAAAACACAATGATGCCAAATGGCTTTAAAATACAACGGAAACAGTAACCCGGAAATTTAGGCGGTACCGAGCTTGCAGCTTTCCCTAGTGTAGAAGACACCATCCATAATTCATACATTTAGCAATCATTTTTTATATAATTTTTTCTACAACTAATGCATACTTCAAACAAAACTAATAAAACTGCCCTTATTTATTTGTAAATAGGTCTTGCTCTGGTAGCAGCCAGTATGTCAGCTGTAGATTGTTTTATATATTTTCATCTAAGTTTTATTTTTAGAAAGAAAACAAGAAAGGATTTCTGTGACTTCTTTTCAAGACGTCTCTAAAGTTATTTTGAATAAAATCTAAAAAAATAAAAAGTAAAAAATTTATTTTATTAAGTTTTAGCGGTTTTTGAAAGAAAATACTGGGTATTTTGGGAGCGGTAAAGTGTAATGGTATTTGGAGAAGAAGTTTAAAGATGCCTAATTAGAATGGATGATGACCGTGCCACTAAAAAGTTCTTCCACGAAAAACCATCTGGAGCACGGAAAAATGTAAGACCAAAGATCAGATAGATTGACTGCCTAGAAACAGATTTAAAAGTTATAAACTGAAAGTGTTTATTTAAGAAGAGGGTAGCTTGGAACTTGATTCTGAGAAAGGACTAGGTTGGCAAGCCATTGGAAAAAGTGTTAGATTAAGCTTAATTTCTACAATAATAATCTTTGTCTGACTGTGCTGAGGTCAAATTTGTGTAGATTTAATTTGTAAATTCTGCTACCAGGCATCTTGCAAGCTATGATTTGCCAGGCATCTTGCAAGCTTGCAAGTTGAGCACTGGATAGCAAAATCTGCTAAGCCTATTAAAAAAAGAAGAAAAAAAGTGTGTATAAAAAAGAAAAAATTTGTTCAAAATTTTCTTTGTTTCTGAAAATGGACTTAGGATGATTTTTATACCCATCACTTCAAATAAACTTAACAGAAATTAAATGTTAAATACATTTTAGAATCTTCTTAATTTCTTTAAATGAACTTGGCAGGGTTTTATACCCATGACTAAAATAAACTTGGCAAAAATTATAATATTTTGGCAGAATAAGCATTGACTACAGCTCAAATAAAAACAGCAATAAAGCTGTGTGTACAAAACAAGTTTAAACACATTGACATTTACAAGACAAAATCTTAATCAGATTTAGTACAATTACAAAGTGAATTTAATTTCCTAAAGGATGAAAAAAAAAATGTGAAACTTGACTACTTTAAAATAGTTGCATAATTTCTAGTATTAATATTTTCAAAGGAAAAAAGATCTTAATTACTAAATAAATCAATTAGAAGTTTACAATTTTATGTTAAAAATATTATTTTACATGCACTGCAAAATGTTTTAAATTTAATTAAATTTTCATTAATAGTTCTTGGGGATAAAATTCTTATAACTTTCAAGAAAGAAAAGAAAAACTTACAGTCTTTGCACTTAAACACAGTATTGTGAATAAAATTTTTTTAAGGAGAAAAATTCACCATTTATTGAACACAAATAGAAAAATAAATTTACTTATTTTAGCGAATTCTAAATAATGAAACTAATTACTGGAAAAAAAAATCTTGAAGTTTAAACAAAATATGTACGACATGTTTCATGAAAGATTGCTAAAATTTAGCAAAATTTACTTTAAATCGGAAAAAAATAAATAAAAAAATAGCCAAAATTCTGTTATTTTTTTTGTTGAAAAAAATAGGGAAAAATTGTAAAGAATGAATTCTGTATATAAAACAGAACAATTTTTATAAAGAATGTGAAAAATTCATAAAAGTTGGTTGGCCTGCCATTGTGATAAAGCTATTTAAAGAAAAGTTTTTCTAATTTAAATTTTTTAGATTTTATCTTAAATTGCAGTAAGTATTAGATCAATATTTGAAACTCATAAATTTTCCTCAATGCTAAGTTAATTTGTTTTCCATTTTTCATTAGGATTTAAAATTATAATGATAATAATAACATAACAGATGTAAATTCACTACACAATATGAATTTATCACTTATCAACAGTAATAAAATTATGGTAATGCATAACAACTGTAAATTCTATATGAATGAATGAGTTATATGAATCAGACAGTTATAAATAATAAAATTAAATATTTCAGCAGGTGAAAAAGTCATTGTTTTACTTTAGCAGAAAATAATTTGTGGAACTTTTTTAATCACCAAAATTTTTACCACCATTTTTTAAATCTTTTTAAAAGTAATCTCAGAATACGCAATTGTCATATTCTAAGTAAGCATTGGTAGTCATATGTGTAATAAAAATCAAGAAGTTAATATTTTATTATAAAACTGCTAATGACGATAACAAGCATCATTTATGACAAAATTAGACATGATCATCAATAAATATCTTTAAAAACGTAGTAAAAAGTCAACATGTGTAACAATAACAATACTTTGGTAAAAAAATATAAAAACGATAAATTAAAACACTAGATATTTTAAACATTTCAACAAAATAGTTTAAAGAAACTTTGACTGTTTTTTATTAATTAATACTTTTGCCTTGGTAATAATACATATAGCCGAAAAACAACTTGAGTAATTAAGAATATTTTTTCATATGTAGTTTATTCCAAATAAAATATATAAATCGATAAGGTGAAAATAATGAGCAAAGGTAAAAACAAATAACTGGCAGTAGGCCAAGGGCAGGCAAAAGTAGAATCTTTATGAGGATTGCCCAGTAACTTGATAGCCGATTAAAAAATCTGAGGAAGTAATTTAAATATTCAGGTTCTACCATAGAATCTCTGCATAATTCACCCAAGGGTTATTTCAAATGACCCTGGCCCTCTTGATCACTTTCTACCATGGCATACTCAGAGGTGGTCATTTTATACAGCCTCGTGCACTAGACATGCCTCATATGCAGTATCTAATGTCTGCTTGGAAAAAGGTGCCTGTCCCCAGCCTTAAGTAGTATCTAAAAATAAGATGTAAGCTATCTAACTTAGATCAATTCCTTTGATCCATGATGAAAGATCCCTATCAGATGCTTCCACTTGTCTGCTTTGTTTCTGACCAGAGTCAGAATCTGGTTCCGTTAGTATATCAGCACACTTCTGACCTGACAAATAAGCACCATGGGTTGTAGAATAAAATGTAGGATGAGTTGCCTCTCCAGCGAATAGCAGAGCAGGCTAAAAATACAATAAATTTATTTAAAAAAAATTGCAATAAATCTAAATTCTTAAGACCTTTTGTCAGCTAATGTTAAAATTCTTGTATAAACAGATTTGACATTAGTTTTTATAAAAAGCAATCTGTTTAAGATTATATAAGAATTGAAATTTCACACCATTTTGCATGGAGAATTATAAAAATGCCAATTTCTCATTTACGAAGACATTTTTAAATGGTGAGAAAAATTTGCATTTTCTTTTATTAATTGAAAGACATTTTATGTAGTGATCAAAATCGGTTTATTTAGATAAAGGTAAAGGTTGCTTCTAATGTCTAGTAAAATTTGTTTTTGAAATTTAAATCCCTATCTTGTTAATCTTGATTTCAAAATTATAACTGGCAGTACTTAAAATGTCTCCCTCTCCCCATTAGCTAAGGTATTGCTTTGCAACCCTAAGTGTGTGCATGTTCTTTTGAAAATATATATTAACCCTTTGGGGCAGATGGGTTCCAGTGTCTTTTTCTGGTGCTCTAATTACAAGCAAAAATATATTTTGGTATTTTTTGATAATAAAAAACAGTGTAATAGTCAGTAAAAAAGTTCTGTTAGATTATCGAAATTACATTTGTACTAGAATATATAATCCAGAAAAAGTGGTTAGAACATTTCGTTTTCATTCATATTCAAAAATTTTTCAATAATTAATTTTATAAATTAAAGAAATTTCAATGATGAATGACTGTCTTTGTTAGATCCAAATTAGTGCAAATTTTAAAAATTATTGTTTAGAAGTGAGCCGTGTTTGGAAGATTTTACTTTGAACACAGAAAAAGACACCGGTGTTACATGCCATATTTCATAACCATAAATGATTAAGATGCTAAATATAATATTTTTTTTTATTTTGACCTAAATTAATACAAATAAATGAAAAAAAGTATGTTTAAAAAAAGTCTGCATCAAAGAGTTAAGGTCATTACGTAACGGCCTGTGGATTATATCCAGAGCCGGATTATACCTTTCGTAGGCCCTAGGCAGAGCCGTTTTTGGGCCCTCCCCTCCTTCCCCACTCTTTTCAAAATATATGCTGAAATTTTCTTGCATATTTTTTTTTTACACTTTTATTAATATGGATTTTAATTTACGAATTTGTTTATCGAACTTTATCTGCAATACCGACAAGTGTAATGCATGAAGCAAGAGAAAAAAGAAAGGTACTCCTAACTTTAAAGAGAAAAAAAATGGTAGAAATATAACATTTAAAAGAATAAAAAATTTACAAGTTAAGACAAGAAAAACAAGTTTAAAAAATACAAAATTCTCATATTTATTTTTTAAAAATAATTACAATTCCTAAATTAACTTATATAAACAAAACCAATGATTAAATAACGCAATATATTTCATACCTAATTAAACGGGGGGAAACAATAAAATAAAAGGAAAACTTATTAATCTAAATCAAAACACTTGAAAATTATCGAACCGAAACGATAGTTAAAAAAGGCACTAGCATAAATATTAAAACCCGGAACAAGGCAAGATCAAGGGAATTTAAAAAAAAAAAAAAAAACCTAATGATAAAATTTATGAATAAAAAGAATTTATTGAGTGCGAAATTTATCGTGAAAAGAAAAAAAAAATCAAACGCAGTGGAATCAGAAAAACAACTGTTTTTCTGATTCCACTACGTTTGATTTTTTTTTAAAATTTCTTTCTCCCAAGTTTTTCGTAGGCCCCTGAATTTCGTAGGCCCTAGGCACGCGCCTAGTGTGCCTATAGGTTAATCCGGCCCTGATTATATCACAAAAATGTTAAAGAAATAAATGTTAATGTTTAATTACCTTACTATGGTATGGATCACTGTAAATTGGAGTTGCAAGCAGTTCTATATCCCTTTGTGAACTTTTTAAGCCTATGTAAGTATAGGAACCTTTGCTAAATGGATGAGACTTCCAGGATGTGCTGAAATTTACAAACAACAGTTATACTTATCCTAGAATAAAATAAAGTAGTTTATCAACAAGTAGTATATTAACATATAACACCAAAAACAATGTATACAACATTTAAAAAAAATGGCACTTTACAGTAAAATTAGTTTTTAGTGTAAAACATATTTCTCTAATCTATACAGGAACATAAAAAACTCATTAAATAAATTTCAATCAATTAACAAAATAAATTTCATTCTATAAATATATTTTTAAAAGTAGAATTAATATGACTTACTACAATAGGTTACAATTAATATATTAAACCATCAAATTTTTTTTAAACACTTATTACTGTTCACAATTTTTTATTAACATGTTGGGCACATCATGTCACTTATGAATGCATTAGCTCATAAATTCAATAAGACTGCATGATTCTATTATATGCCACAGTAAAATGTTAAACACTTAGTATTTTAAGAACCACTGTACGTGTGAACTATATACGTTAGCTGCTAAAAAAATAGCTCTGCACCCATGCTTAACGTGGTAAAATTTTTTATTGCTCAAATAGCCAAAGAAAAGAAAATTTCATAAAAGCCTACATAAATGAACATTGATGATTTTTGTTTTTATTGTTCAGTAAAATATAACAACACTAGTTTGAAAATAATCAAATTTTAAAGGTTTACCAAACAACTTTGCAAGGCTTAGGTACGTATGGATCATTAAGAAATTTTCTTAAAATGTCTGTGCATGTCTCAGCAACTTGTTCTTCGGACAATGTCTCTAGGAATTCAGCTTCACGCCCAGAGACCCAAGCAAGAAGAATACTTTCAGTACACCTACGAAACGAATATATCTTTCGAAACCAAATCTTACTAATATCACTTTCCTCTGTCCTTTTCCACAAAGTGATAACTTCGGAGATTTCCGCATTTAAAAAAGGTCTATCATATTCTAAATATATTTTATTCACAATACCAAAACTTAAATTTTCTATGCACTCTATTTTATAATCTGGCAGTTTTGGTTCAAACATATCGTTGGCAGTAGCCTTAAGGACACCTAATGGAAGAGTAACTATTACATGACTAGCTAACCAATTTGTACCATCTCCACAAGTTACTAAAATGAGGTTGGATTTGTTGCAAACACTTTTTTCATTATCGTCAGTTTTCGAATCATTCTTCATTTTCCATTTGATTTGTTTTACTTCACATTGTAACCTTACACTGTCCCTAGGTAGGATATCTTCTAAAATTTTAACTACGGAACAAAAACCTCCTGGTATGCTTATATTGCCACCAGGTAGTTCTGTGTAACTCCCAAAGTCACTAAGGCTTGTTTCATCCATACTATGGCAACCAGTAATGCAGGTTTCCCTGCTTAGAAGATGATCGAATATCATGCGGCGCATATTTGCCTCATCACCATGGTATTGTTGTAAATAGGCATTAATATCCATTTCTAGGTGTTTGCCCACACTTTCGATGTTTGGTGGTGTGTGCAAGTGAAGTAAAAAATATTCCTCACATCTTTTACTGAACCAGAAATAAGCATTGTAAACCTCGTCTACAACAGAGATGGGCACTCTTTTCCCTTCTTCGGTTGTTGCAACCACCGCATGGGGATCTTGATCTATGGTTATATTTATTAGTTCATTTGAAAGAGCAAGTTCGTAGATAGGATTTTCCATCACTCCATGTATCCAACTGGCACCAAGATCAACTTGATCAACACCTATAAAGAAATATTAACAATACAATGAATAAAAGATTATAAATTTATATTAAATTTATTTAATTAATAAAAAATAATATTAATAAATTAAATAGTATTTATATTGAATTAAATATCAGTATCTTATTATAGTTTTGGTAATATTGTAAATTTAATAAAGAAGTAGAAATGTAAATAACTCAAATTTAACAATATTTTTATTAATTTAGCTATTGCACAACCATGGCTGCTTAACCACACAAAACTGTGATGTGTATCGCCGTGATGTACCTCAAAGCTATCCAGGCACAACCCTGAGATATAATATTAAAATATAAGATTAGTAAAGTTTTAGGCATTAGGAGATATTTCTGTATTAACATCTGTTAGTTAGAACCACAACTAGAAAAAGGATATTTTAATTTCATTTTATAATTACATTGAACAGCCAACCCAAATTTGGGTTTATAACTACAAATGTTCAATTACATAGGCTTGTAATTTTGAACCCAATCCAGAAGACAAGGGAACTCCTAGATTAAGCATTGGGAGAAATTTGCCTTCGTGGAGGACTTTTTGATGGAACCAACCTGCATTTGCATTACACACGAAAACCTTCCACGGTAAGTCTGACGGCGACTCTAACCTATGATCTGTCTACCACTGAGGATATTTCACATCAGCACAGTGGTCGGTGCAGGAAAAGGATATAGGAAAGCATAAAAGTTTTTCTTTTAGAAAAATATATGAAGTGGTTTGCTTGGGGGTGGCTTAAGAATAATACCCATTGAGCTGATACCAACCTGTTTTTTTTTCTTTTTCTTTCTAGTTTCTTATCTGCCAAGAAGTAGTCAAGACTTAATAATTATTTTGGCATACATGTTGACAGTGAAACCTTTTCAGGAATAACTTTAATAATTTGAATTAATAACCCTCTTGGAAGTATTGATCAATATATTCATAAAAAAAGCATTTTATGAAAGAAAATATTTATGAAGTGTTTACTATTTAATTATTATTGCTATTTTTTCGTCATTAACTATTTTTAATGCTGCCTGTTCAAATAAATTTGGTAAAAAGTCTTAAATATGATGTACTTAATGTTTGTTATACATTTTAAAGGAGAAAAGAAAATTCGGTGAGGAAGTATTTTTAACATTTTATTAACTTTCATCAAGCATTAATAGCGGTATTTCATCAAACTTATTTTAATATAAAAGAGATATTTTAATATAAAAGAAATATATACTATGCACCAGTGAAGAAAATGATAAATATAAATTACTCCTGTTAAAAAAGTTTTTTCATACATTTATTAAATCATGAAATAATTAAGAAAGTTCTTAGTATATTTAGTAGATTGGTAAAAGAGTATACTTAGTATATTTAGCAGATCGGTTTAACATAAAGACAGGTTTAATAACATCTACGATTGAAATGATTTGAATTTCCAAAGTAATAACAAAATATTTGAGCTTTAATTGTGGTAATTATGTTAAATAATAAAATTTACAAGTTAATGCATCAGAGCTAAATGAATAAATAATACAAACATACATGATAATAAAATACATTATTTTTATTACAATCAAACCTTTTTTATGTATTACGAATTCAAAAGATTTCGAATTAATTGATATAAAAATATTTCAAAATTAAGAAAAGTCGAAAACAGTTAAAAAAATAAATAACAAAAATATATGATTCACCCATTGGAATGGAAACTATACGACCGCCAATTCTATTTCTAGCTTCTAATATTTTAAAATCCGTTTCTCCTTTCTTTATAAGATGGTGAGCAACTGATATTCCTGCAATTCCAGCACCAATAATTAAAATTTTGCATGAAAATTGAGACGTTACCGGAGTTTTTGTTTCGGAGGCTTCTGCTAGAGCTGCCATTATATCAACAAACATGCGAGAAAGCTGAGGTGAAAGACTTCTGTATAATTTCTTTTTTATTAATAATAGCAACTGCATAATGAACTCTAATACATTTTATAATTAATAAATAAAATAATCATTGAATTTAGAGCAATATTAGACAGGTACATACTTTTCTTATTTAATAAATCAAAACTTTTTTATTTTTGTAATAAGGCGAGTCGCCTTTTTATTAAAATTCTATTTTGAGCAAGAATTAAATTTGAGTGGCAACTTATTGCAACCGGAAAAAGGAATACGCCGGAAACCGAATATCCAAATAAACAGACAAAAAAAGCAACAGCTGGTTAAAATCCTTGAATTTCAGATTTTTATTTTCCATTAAAAATATATTTGTGTATAGACAACATAAGCTCTTTCTCAAAACTATACTAACTTATATATTATTCCTTATTTCGCTGTATTATTTTGCGCATTTATTTTTATTGATCAATTTTAAAATTATTTTTAATGCCAGAGGAGATTTTTATTTGAATAAGATGTATTGAGCTAAGTGTTCTCTAATGTAATTTTGAATAAAAATTATTATCAGCAATATGACTGAATATAATGATTTTTTCATTATCTAATTTATAAATTTGTTGTCTTGGAACATCATGTCGAAATTTCAGAAACTTGAAGAAGACTATTTGTCTCTTTTGGCTGAGGTAAGATTAAAAAAAAGAAAATGCAATGTATACTAGCTTTTTTTAGCAAGAAGAACGTTATATATTTAAATATTTACTTCATATTTTTTAAATATAAATCTATGCGAGTCATGTTTTCTTAACGTTATCAATTTTAGTCAATCTTGATGTCATTAAACACAAGTCAAAATATTATTAGAAAATGATTGTGGTTGCAACTTTGACTTTTTTATAAGAATTAAAACTAGTGTAAAACACATGGACATTTATTGGTGCTTTAAGATTTTTTTAATAAATATTTAAATCTACTAATAAAGGAAAGACTGTCATTTGTAGACAGTCATTTGAAGCTGTTATAATATATTGTTGTTGTTGTTGTTGTTACTTTACGTCGCACTAGAGCTGCACAATGGGCTATTGGCGACGGTCTGGGAAACATCCCGGAGGATGATCCGAAGACATGCCATCACAATTTTGATCCTCTGCAGAGGGGATGGCACCCCCGCTTCGGTAGCCCGGCGACCTGCGCGCGAAGTCGAGCACTTTACGGTAGTATAGTTTAACGAGGACCAATACCCCACACCCTCGGTCCTTACGCAGAAGTCACCGAAGAAGTCACCTTACGCAGTATTTAAGTGGTCACCCACCCGCACACTGACCGTAGCCAGTGATGCTTGACTTCGGTGATCTGCTGGGAACCGTGTCTTAACGATCAGTCCACTGCGGGACTATAATATATTTAGTGCAAAATATAATTTGCTTGTTTTTAATAAATGTTTAATCTGCTAATAAAGCAGAAAAAGGCATTTTTTGTTGTTAGAGTTTACTGAGAAAAAATATTATTTGTTTGTTTTTAATAAATGTATGAATTTGCTAATAAAGGAGAGGAAGGCCTGTGGAGGAGATATAATTCATTGTAGAGTAAATTACTTTTAATGCTAACTACAAATGATCTATCACCATTAGTATGAAAAAAAATAAATATTTGTATATTCATAATTATTTGCGTATCTGATTGATCATGGATGAATATCATCCCAAGAACCGAAACCTCTGTATTGATTTGTAGGTCTAAGATTTATTTGCAGATTATCATGATTATTAGCATGATTTTTTTGTTACATGTTATACCTAAACCTATGTATTTAATTATCGAAATGCAGTCTTTTACATTGAGAATAAATTTTACTAAAATAATACATTGAACTGGAATAGAAAACAGACTCTGTTAATATTAAGCAAGATATTATGAATTTTGGATATTTAGTATGATTTTGGTATTGTATTTTATGTTATGTCCCTACTAATAGTTAAAATTATATGTTTTTTTTTAAATGAAGAATTTTATTGAAATAATATGTACTACTTTAATTATTTGTTAATTTAAACTTGTAAGTGTAAACTTGCATATAAAACACATTCTATTAATATTAAGTAAAATTTTACAAATTTCTCATATTTAATAGGATTTTAGTTTTGCATATTATGCTTGAAACTATTTGTTCAATAGTTGAAACAATGTGTTTCATATGAAATATGATTTCATTAAAATGATATGTTTGATATTGATTTTGTTTATCATTTTATAGTTTAACACGTTAAAGTGCAAACTGGAATGCAAAACAGATTCTCTATTAATATTAAGCCAGGAATTAGAAAAATGTCGATCTGAAAGAGACCAATATAAATTGATGGCTGATCAAATAAGAGATCGATACAATGCTTTAAAAAGAAGGATAGAAGGATGGGTAAGTCCGAAGTTTTACTTTATTCTACATTATAACTGAATTATATTTTGTTTTATATGCTTAAATTTGTCATCATATCCTAAGGGCTCAATGATTGAAAGAGTAAAGGACTCAAATTTTAAAAATAGTGTAAAAATCATCCAAAATTAAATCTAATGTTAGATAACTAACTATACATCATTATATAGCTTTATGTTAAAATAAATATTTTGATTTTAATACTATAATAAAGATGTGAGTACATTAATGAAATGAGAAGGGTATGTTGCTTTTGAACATGTAAGACTCTTAATAGGGTGTTCTTTATCTGCATAATATGCCCTTATCAATATTAATAAGATATGATAAGTGTTACATATTATGGCAGAATATTACTGTCAGTTTGAGCAAAATTATTTTTCTATTGACATATTTATTTATCTTTTAATTTGTTAAATGTTTTGTAGGGTCCTTCTTTAATGGAAGTGTATGATGTAGATGGATTGAAATGTGAGAAACAAAAGGTAATAACAACATTTATTTTAGCATAGATGCTTTATTGATTCCTTTTGTAAGATTTAATTGTTTTTATTTATTTATTATTATTTTGAAAGTAAAAGGTTAAATTTCAAACTAAACTGTAATAGAAAAATTATTCAACATAAGAAAAACTAAATTACATACATTAAAGCTTTTTAAACTTTGTCTACTCAGAACCGTAATTAGAAACATTTGTTTATCCTTCTTTGTACGTAAATGTTTATAGTATTTGCTGAATATCGATTGATACTACATTATGGATAGGTACATACTAAAAATTGTCCAGTTCAATATTAATAATATTGATACATAGCTGCAACCTGAGTAAACAATATCAAAATTTTTAATTTTAACTATTTTGGAGAAAAAAAATTCAAAAAATAACTTTATCATAGTGCATTTTAAATTTTAATATATTTAGGGATAGGTTTTGTTAATTTTTGTTTAGAATAGGAAGTTGATGTGATATTCTAAAATCAAAGTAAAAACCCCAATAATATTATATACTTAAGAGGAAAACTCGCCTCCTAGATCCTTCTAAGGAATGAGGTCTGTTGGATTTTCACAGTATTTGTTTACCTACTGTTGTTTCATCTCCCAGGTGGTGTGCAGTTTGCATTTTCGCCTTGGCAAGCTTAGGGGATCTCCGAGTCTCCTCGCTTAGGTTAAAAAAATATTCTAATGATTGTAAATACTGCTTAATGTAGTGCTGTTTAGTTTAGGATGCTATAAAAAATGAAGAAATAAAACAAAATGAAAGGAATAAGTATGACTTTAATTCTTTGTGGTTGTTAATTTTATATTTATTTAAAGAAGGTAAACACTTTGAGAGGACATTTAAGCGAGAGATATTATTCTAATTATAGTTAAAAAACAAATCAAAACACATTAGTTTTCTTTTGTATCTGCAAAATTTTTTTAAAATTGAAGTGCTGTGTATGATATGATTTTTTTAAATTTTGAATTTGATTTTTTAACTTAAAATTTCTTCAATACTTTTGATATATTTGTTAATAAAGATATTAGTTAATCAATTATTCATAATCAATTTTCAATAACTTATAGTTTCTTAAAAATATTAATTTTTCTCTCTGTTTCTTTCATATTAGCAAGTAAGAATTAATTGAAATTTTATCACTTAATTTTACCCTATCTGAACTAATAAGTGCCAAAAATGATTCTTTTATAAGTCTTGTTAGCAGAAAGAAACAGCTAAGTTTAACTAAGTACAACAAATATATTTTATCATAAACCAGAATCAGATTTATTATTGATTTATCAGATGTTCTGATAATAAATCATATTTTTTCATCGAAATTAATGATTGTTTGAAAGAAAGTTCAAAGAAGTCATTGAAAATTTCAGTATTGCTTAAAATTTTTATATTATGATTTCTTTATTTTGGATTTGTATTGGTCTCTATAAAATTTTAGCAATACACTGTGCAAGTTTATTGTTTATTATTCCATTGGGAGGTGTGTCTAGTTAAGTTTAAAAAAACTCTGCTTTTTTCCCTTTAAAGTGTTTGTCACAGGTATTTTTTTTTAATTCTTTTAAAATAAATTTGTTTGAGTGATTACTCAATTTCCTGATTGTTATATGAACTCTCTTTCGATGTATTTAAACTCAGAATGTTATTTATTTCCATTGTGTTACTTTATAATTTCAAAGAGCTCTAATCGATTCTTTAGTTTAATTTTTCAATGATTTACTAAAATGTCACTTCTGCTCTTAATTCATATTGTTAGCTTTTCGGAATCAAAACTTTTATTTACGACTTTGAAAACTTTATATTATTTGTTTACTTTTCGTGTATTCTAATTTTATTTGAAATAAAAGTGCATTTTTATAAAAAAATTATTAAAAGTGCGTTTCATTACAAAAGTTTTTTTAAAAATAATTTATTAATAAAAAAATTTAGATATTTGTTATGTGTAGTTTTATGAGCCTCATTTTTAATTTCTTTTTATTTGCTTTTATTTAAGAGCTTAGCGCAGTTGTTATGTGAATTGAAAGAGCAAAACAAAATTCTGAGGTATAAAAATGAAGATTTAAGACAGAGATTGGACGATACACAGGGGGATGTTAAGGTTTGCAAATTTATTAGTTTTTATTTTGTAAACATTTATTTCTGAATAATCTGTATAGTAAAGCTCTTTTCTGAAATAATTATTATGTACTTTGAAGTTATACTTTTTTAAATCAAAAATATGAACATGTGTCATGCATTTTATTGTTGGAAATATGGAATTTTTAATATTGATTGTATTTTATTTCAGTTATCTGATATAGTTATTTTTTAATATTGATTGTATTTTATTTCAGTTATCTGATATAGTTATCAGAATTTTTAACATAAATTTAAATTTAGTTTTATTATATTCTTGATTCAGTTATGAATTTTCAATTTTATTTAAATCCTTTTTTTCAGATACTTACATTTTAGTTTTAATTAGATTAGACTTATTGTTTACTTTAAACTTGATTAAATCTTGACTTTATTTTTGATAGTTTATTCTATATTGGAAGTAAAAGCGGCTGGTGGGTGGTTTGACCACTTTGCCATAATTATGCTGTTGTTCACAAAATTGTTTCTTTAGCTTTAACCTCTATTGCTCCTTAATCCTAATTGGGTTCATGCGAAAATGCTTAAATTTTTGATTTGCTTGTCATAGGTCTATGTTTTTCATATCTTAATCAAAAGATTCAATTTTTTAAAAAAAAATTGTTTTAGTTAGTGATATTGAAAATTTAATGGGAAAATATTAATGGTAAATTTAATGTTTATTGGTAAATGTGTAATTACTAATTATGTGGTAATTTAGCGAATCATTTTTTTTATGTAATAAATATTTCATCAAGTAATATTTATTCATTATAATAAGTGATGAAAGATTGACTATTATTTTGTAAAAAAAAATCAGAAATAGTACAAGAAGTAGTAGTATTCAGAAACAAGAGATTTTAAAATTACATCCAGTGATAAAAAAAAAACAATATTTATTGTCAAAATATAATATTAATATTTAAGTTCGAATGAACTTTGGTTTTAAATTACATTTGTTACACACCAATGATAATTTTAGATTTAAGAACAGATCAGCAATTTTCAAACATCAGTCAATTAATATAATTATTCAACGTTTTCCTTAGCTTTAAATGATAAACACCAAGTTGAACAATAAAAGGAAAAATATTTTAGCAAACAGAACTTTTTTAGAGGCAGGAAATTTTTTGCTAATATTTCTAGTATTCATATTTTTCATTAAGCTTTTTTCTGAATGTTTTTGTTTGAAATCTTTTGTTAGCATTATGTTTTTTAATTTTATATATTCAGGGCTGATTGTGCTCTGGAAAAAAATCCGGATTTCCGGATTTTTCGCTGACAGTGATCCGGAAGTTTCCGGAGATCGAAGGTCCAGTCTTTTAAAAAAATTATTGATCACAGAATTTCCGGAAATCAAATTTTCGAAGGTGGAACTTAAAAACACAGTATATTTGTTTGTAAGGGAGAGCCAGATACTTTATAAACTTATATTCATGATTAATATTTTTTTATCAGTAAATAGTTATTATAATCATAAACATATTTACAAATAAACAAAGAAAGACATATTAGTAAATTTTATTTGCTTCTCCAGGTCATCATAGGTATGTGTAAATGGTATAGGTATGTGTAACTCAAGAAATTTTCCTGAATTTTGACTTGGGCTCACAATCACCCCTGTATATTACATAATCAGCCTATATTTTTCAATGAATACGTAAATGTTATCTGTACTACATTTATTTAAGTTTTTTGTTAGTTACTTTTTTGAGTTGTTCTTTATTGAGTTATTGTTGATATAACAATGTAAAACTTTCTTTATCTTAATAAATTCAATGCATTTATTTATGCCATTATCTAAAGATAATAATTTCTGCGCATGAATATGTTTTCTATTACTTTTCTAAGGGGAGAAAAGCTTTCATTTCCTTATAGCAGGTAACTTGCAGTAAAATTCTCACTGCTTGAATGCAAATATTTAATAAATTAAATTTTTTCTATTCAATGCATATTATTTTTTAGTTTTTGATTAAGAATTATTTCATTGGAGTTAAGTAAATTAAAATCAGTTTTTGATCTTTTGTAGATTTTACGGGAGGAAATTACAAAACTATCTTCAGATTCTGGTAATGAGTTTTGGTCATCAGAATTTGTGCCTTTCTCTGAAAAAGAGGCATTGGTAACCCAACTGGAAATCCAAAAGTTAAAGGTAACACTATCATGACTTATTTATTCAAATTGTTTTTGAACAATTTTATCTCTCTTTTTATAACTATTTTTTATGTTATTCAAATGTTAAATGTTTCAAAATTTTAATTCTATGTGTTACTATTTTGTATTAAATTGTATGATGCAATATTTTTTACAAAAAATATATGTTAATAACTTATGTCTGTAACCCAGTTTCTAAGCTTGAGTATTAATTTGGTGCAAAAAGTAATAAAAATAAAATATATTTTATTATGCAGAATTTAGTACTCTAATCTAAATTAACTTGATTACTATTATGTGACTTTTTTTTATATGTAGAGTTAGATTAATGAAATATAATGAAATAAATATGAAATTACTTTTTATTTTTAGTTGCTATAATTATATCATATTGGTATAATATTAATAATGGTTTAACTGATAGATATAATAGCTTAACTGCTAAGTATAATATTTTAAATATGAGTAGATAGATAATTAATTTAATTGATTATTATATTATTATTTCTACTTTCAAATATTTATAAATGCTAATAATGTACAGTAAAGGAAATTCATAAAATGATATAGATTCTTTTTGGAAATAAAGACTTATTACTAAATTTTTGAAGTGATGACAGTCACTTGTCGATAAGTCTACTCCTAAAAGTTTGATCCTACATCATATATGCACTTTCCATCTCTTTATTAGGTCGTCAAGGGTAAAAATTTTCGTTAATAATATTATCAATTTTATCACCTTTCAGGGGTCTGTCCTAGCCAAATTTACTACCGTTTAGCGGTACCTTCACAAATTCAACTTTCGGAAAACGATAGTTTCACAAAATGCTTTTTCTTAAAAATTTCATTATTGTGTATCGTAAGAAATGATAAATCCATGTTTTAACTATATTTTTGTGTTGATTTTTTAAAATGATTTTTAATTTTCACAAATTATGTATAAATTTTCACTAAATAGGTACCTCTCAGAAAAACCTAGGCAGACCCCAGGCTTATTATTTGACATTGGATTAATTCTTTATCTTTATTTTACCTCTTCTTTATTGGGAAGTTACCATCTGCTTAAGAAAATCATTGAAGGCTCTAAAAAGTAAAAAAAACTGGTGAAAATGGAATGCTTGAAAGTTCTTACAAAGAATGGGTTCTTACACTGATCTTGCAGCATTGCAAACTATGTGAAACATTAACGTTGTATTTGGCTCTAATGTTTCTTACTCAACAGATAGTATTAAATCAGTTTATCAAATTTTATGCTAGTAACCAGACTAACCAGACTCCCTTATAATTTTCACTTCACTTTCAATTTGGTGAGCTTTTTTGTTAAAAATAAGAATCAATTAAATTCAGAAAATGTTGCAAAACTGGACTTTTAGGAATTCTTCAACTCTCGTCTGCCAAGGTTATGTAGCACCAGAACAACATGCAGTTTAAATGGCAAAATTGTATGGACAATATGGGTGCATACTTTGTTGAATTGAATATTTTCTTACAGTTGTAAAAATTATCAAACAACATTGCCTTTCTTTCCTACAAATTTCATTATTGATAAACTAATATTTTAAGTGCTGTTCTCTTCTTTCACTCCAATTTTCATTAAATCAAAACAGACCGAAAACAATAAAACTGATTGTGGTTTAACTTTTTATTATTATTCGTTCTTCAAATGCCTATAAAAATTTTGATAGGCATAAGAAGTATTAATACTTTTTATATTTGAAATAAATTATGTTTTAAATGAGTTATTCTAGCATTTTGTAAAAAGTGTTTATTAAAACCATGCCTAGTTTCATTTAAAATATTGATTTTTCACATTATTTCTTTGTTTAGTGTTTACAACTAACTCAAGATCTAGAATCAGTGTTTGATGAAAAAGAAGAATTGGTTACAGCTAGAGATCAATATCGACATAAATTTGAAAGGTTAAATCAACAGATGAATTATGTTTTAAGAGGTGATCAAAAAAGACCCATTGATATTGACGGTGTATTAATGGAAAACAGGTAAAATTCAAACCTTCTTTATATTCTATGATAAATTAAAAATTGTGCATTAAATTATGCTTATTAAGGAAAATAATTGGAAAAATTTTCAAAATCTTGATTTTACTAGCATTTTTACGTCAGAAAGTAATCTAATTTATTATTTCTGTTTATTAGCAATAATTTTATTCTTTTTTTAATTTTTTTAACTTGCAGATACTTAATAGAAAGGATAAAACAAGTTGAAGAAGAAAAGACAGTTACTTCTGCTGCTCTTGAAAAATGCAAAGTAAACATAGTTTTTTTTTTCAAACTCATTTTTAATGTTTATTTCCACTTTAGAAGATTGTGTTTGTCTAAATTGGGTTATTATTACTTATGGGATGATGGGAACCATATACTCATACATTTAATGTTTCAGTAATCATTTAAAAAATATATTGAACAACTGAATCCATGAATTTACTAAATTGATCTATGAATATCTGAAATGAAAACAAAAAACATACTAAAATAACTGCATCAACAAAAAATAAGTAAACTGAATATTAGTCAAAATATTTTATTTACTAAATTTATCTACGAATATCTGAATGAAAACATAATCTATTCTAAAGTAACTGCGTATTTCTCTATGAAAAATAAAGTGAAATTTTTTTCTATTAATGATGCAGACACTTTTGGTGAAAAGCTAACAATGTGATATTGTCAATTTCTAGTCAAGAATTAGTGGTAACAAACTAAGTTTAATACAATTTTGATCACAATTTTTCTGCAAACACTTTTTTTCTAATAGTGCAAATAACAAGATTATACAGTGGACATGTCTTAACTTTATGGGTCACTCTCAGAATTGGAGAGCATAAGGTTAAATAAATCAGAATTGCTATTTCTAAGTAAAGATTCTGTGCCTGCGTGTTCCTTTACTAGATTAATCTCAAAATAAGAATTTTCCTTTTTGGGAAATTTAATGCAGAAAGATTTCCTTCCCACATCTCTATTTATACTAATCAAATTATACTTATTGCCAATATTTAGTGAAGTTCTCACACATCTTAAGTGGTCTAATTTATATTTCAGAAATATTTTTAATATTGATGTTTCTATGAGATAATTTTTAAATTGTAACATTATAGTTGTATATAAAATATTTTCATGATATTTACATAGAAATTTTTTAATTAATTTACAATTGCAATTTGTTGGAGGCTGTGCAAAAATAATTTTAAAATGATTTCATTATAATGAATTATAATGCTTATTGATTATGTAATGCTAATGAATTATATTAGCTTATTTATAATTAATGTAATTTCTATGTATTAGTTAAAAGAATGCTACCGAGTTCCAGAGATCATGGTTAAAGATATGAATGTTGGTGTTAAAGCTATGCATTTATTTGAGGAAAATTAACATTATCGAGTTGAAGAAACTCAGACTTCATTTTCATTTGCTTTATTTATTGTTTGCTCTTTGTTATGTTAATTTGCTTCCTAACAGATAGATGGCAACTAAATATAATTTTTAAGTTATAAAAGACATATGATTTGAAATGTTTCAGGGAAGCATAAATCAAAAGTTTTAATGGTAATTTCAAAATATATACATTTCTATATCTTAAATAATTGCAAAAAAAAGAGATTTTTTTTACTTAGATTATTTATAGAATATTAATATACTTATCATTTAGTATTTTAAGCTTACATTAAAATCTGATAAACTGTCACAAATATTGTATAGACCCTTATCATTTTGAAATTACAATCAGACTTCTATTTGACGAAGTCGCTAAGTCTCGATAATAAGTTCGTTATATGGAAAATTCATTAATAGAAAAACCCCTTTTGAAATACATAAAAACACATAACAAGTTTTAAATTCATAAACTCTAGACACAATTAAAATAGAATTTGATACACCTTTATCTTGTAAACTAGTATGTACTATTTATTTTATAAATCTTTACCATGAAGGAAATCTGCATGGAAAGCAAACATAGAGCAAAACATTATCCAGTGCAACACTGTCATGCTACATGCATTTTCAACTTTAAAAAGCTAAATTTATGTATAGAACTATAGCTGCATTCATTATAAAAGTAATTTTAAACATACATTACCACATGCATTCTTAAGTTTAGTTATTACTGATAAAATCTGTTAATTTTGTCAGGGTTTTTCGTTTGAAATTCAAACAAAAAGGGAAAGGGATTTTACTGCTTTCTCTAAAAGTTAAGTAGCTTCGGAAATTAATTTAAGGTAATTTCCCCCTTAAAATACGTTAACAAGTTTGAAATGTACTAATGTATTTTGTGAAATAAGGAAAGTGGATCGCAAAGAAAAGTGTGTAAAATAGAAAATTCTCTTTGCGATTTGGAAGTTATTTTACGAAGAAATTTCCCAAATGTTCTTGGTTCCTCGAAAAATATCGTAAAATACAGAAATTTGCAAAATGGAAGTTCGTTTAATAGAAGTTTGACTGTATTTGGAGAATGATGTATTTTATTGATTAGAAATACCAGACTGACTTACTGACTTTGATGTTTTTTTAACCTTTTTTTGTAGCTTTTGCTCGAGAAAAAAAGAGTAAAAGGTGGAATGAGGAATTCCATAATGGCAGGGCTTACAATAACTGCTAAACAAGGTATACTTTTTAGAATAGAATTTCCTTAACATTGCATATTTAATCGCATTTTTTTTGATTTTTTAATTATTTCGTTACAGATTTTAGAAGTAAGTAACTCACTCCACTTGAATTTATTATTTTTAACATTTGTTATTTTACTTAGAATTCATGTATAAATTGTTTCCAATTTATTTGATGTAGATTAATTAATGTTGTTTCATTACTTATTTTATTAGAAACATTATTTAAGAATAATTTCAATTCGTGCCTCATTTTATTATTAAATAACCTATCATTTCTTTTTTGTTGTTATAGTTAAGTTATTCATTTGTTATTTTTTGTTTCCTAATTTATTTTAATTATTGTTATTCATAACTTGAGACAATACTTCAATGTAATTACAGTATACTCTCAATATCTCAAAGTTGAAAGGAAGCTATAAAAATTTCAAAGTAGCAAGTTTTCGAGATAACAAGTTCAGAGCTAAATATGTTCTAAAAAGTAGAAAAATATATTCTAAAATATTACTCTAAAAAGTGGAGTCATGAAACATAATAATAACTACTAATAAATGTGTATGTAATGATAGTTGACTATAAGTCTAAGTACAACAATGATAATTTTATTTTTAAAAGTTAGACAAAAATAATTATGCATTTAATAGAAAAGAATTAGTTTACTGCAGACTTACATTGTGATTTTTCAGAAAAAATTTATTTTCTATTTCGAGAAAAAATTGGCATAACAAGGTTTTGAGAAGAAATTCTTTGACATAGGAATTTAAATTAACATTAGGTGGATATGTAATGCCATGGGGAAAAATATTTTTTTGATATAGCAAGGTTTTTGAGATATCAAGAGTATACTGTATAACATCTCATGTTATTTTTTAATATTTAATTTTTTCCTTTTTTTTCCGTTATCGATAAGTTATTCACTTGTTATTTTATTTTATTTCACAACTTATTTTAATTAATATTTTCTAGTTGAAACATTACTTCAGAACAATCCATTCTTAGATGTGTCTAGCAAGTCCTCAAATGCTGCTGAAATTCGTAATGTTATTATTACCTTACTGGAAAATTTAAACGATAAAAGTGTGGCTTTACTGCATCAACGGAAAGCAAACAAGTACTTTATTATTATTTCTATTTTAATTTAACATAGATTAGAAATATTAGAAACTGTAGATATTTTTTTGGATAATATGTAAATTGTTTTTTAAATTAAGCTAGTTGATACTTAATAAATCAATAAAAGTTCTACAAAAATGGAAATGTTAAAGCATAAATGTAGTTTTCAATTTAGAAGAAAAATATGTGAACTATACTTCAAGTTATATAAATATATTTTTTTTCAGAATTCTTGGAAGCAGGATATCAGAATTGGAAGATCGAATTAAATCAATAGAAGTTACAAGTTTCTGTCATAATTCTGATTCTAGTAAGCATTCATCAATGTAATTTTATCAAACATAGAATTTTTTGTTATCATAGTTATTGTGTTATCATTGGTAATCATAATTTTACTGTTAGCTTACATTTAGACTTTATTTACATCTTTATATTGCTTCATTTATAGTTTTGCATTTAGGTTTTTTTAGTCTTACTTATTGCTAATGTTGTTCATTTTTTAATAAATTTCTTAAAGAAAGTAGTTAAACTTGTTAGTTATGCAGGAACGCAGTTATGATAAATGATACAAAAACCTCAATTAAATTCTCAAAAAGGTTGAAATATAACTATAAAGGGCTTGGAGTTATATAGTGATACAAATTTGAAATTACATATGTATATACACTGCTCAAAACAATGAAAGGATATTGATGTAATTGGGCTGAGCATGCACCTGGAGAATTGTTTGAATGCTTGATACACTATCGACAGATGTTGTAGGCTATATAAGATAAAAAAGACATTTGTTTGGCAGAAAAAAATGCATTTTACTGAGCATTTGGGTACGAAAGGAAATAGCACAATTTGTGCATATGAGAAAAACAAATAAAAAAAGGTCTTCACTTAAAAGAAAATCATTTTTAATAGGAAGTGTTTCTCTGGACAGCCGGCAACGTTGAACACCTTGGAGGCATTGAGTCAATGAGATTATTAATGAGGGGCTGGGGTTTTCTGTCCCACTCCTCTAGAAGAGCACTTTCCAGTTTTTGATGAGTTTGTGGGGGTTGTAAACCTTCAACAATTCGTCTGCTTAGAATGTCCCAAACATGCACAATTGGGTTCATGTTCGGAGAACACGCTGACCAATCCATCCGTATGATTCCTTCCTCCAAAAAGAAATCGTTCACCAAGTTAGCACGATGTGACCTGAAATTGTCACCCTTTAGCATGAAGTCATCTCCAGTTGTTGCTGCATAAGGGACTACAATAGGTCTCAGGATCTCATCTCTATATCAGTGACCAGTCAGAGTTCCATTTTAATGATATGGAGATCAGTTTACCCATTAATGGAAATGCTCAAACCTCCCCCTTCCTACAACAAACACAGGATTGTTTCTAGTGCCACATTCCCTCCAGATGAAAATACGCCGATTATCAGGATGAACAGAAAAACGGGACTCTTCAGAGAAAAGAATATTGTGTCATTCATTTCTCCTCCAGTTCACATGCTCTGCTGCCCACTCCCTCCGGACACGATGGTGCCTTGCTGTTAATGTGACACACACCATTGGTCAGCGAGCATTCATAGCTACAGCGGGAAGGCGGTTTCGGATAACATGTGTCAAAACTGTGGTGCCAGTAGCTGAGCAAAGGCTTTCTATTTAATTACTGAAATAATATGTTACAACTATCTAAAATGAATTTAATATCTATTACCATTAAAAGTTATGATAGTTCTAAGTAATTCTATCTGTCTCAAGCTCTGAGTAATCTTATGTATCTTGTGCTCTAAGTTATCTTATGTATCTTGGGCTCGTGTGGGCTTGAATTAAAATTCTTCAGGCTCGGTTCTCTAAAAGTGAGCTTGAACTCCTCTCTAACCTTAAAGCATTCCTACCTCTGTTGTTTTTTTGCAAAAGAAGAGCTTTAATAATTACTATCAAGCTTTTTAGAGTCACCTTGCCCCAATATAATGACGGTTCTGAATTTAATTATTGTGACTTTTTCTTTATAGATCAATATTCCCTTCTTTTGCATTCACTGAAATCTATAGAGATGCCTCCAGATGGTAAGGAAACAGTTGGCATGACACTTCCATGTCCTGAAAAAGCTCTTGAAGGGGAGGGAGATATATCCGGAAACCCTCCCGATGATCAAAGTCTGAAAAGTGACGACCAGTTTTCTCCATCTGAAATAAGTTTAGATATGAGAACTCATTCTGGTTTCAGTGATTTAGACATTCTTCCAACTAAAGAGTTTACATCATCAGGTACTGTAATTTTGTTTCTTAAGTTCATAAACATTTAAAAATAATGAGTAAATTATTTCGTTATTAGTGTTGTTAGTTTATATACGCATCTATGTGTGTAGTATGTTTATATATTTTATGTGTTGTTATATTGTCATTATTTGCGAGTGGTACAAATGAAGTAGTTTATAGGAAGAGACACAATTTATTTGCATTTAATAAGCTTCTCCAACTAGAATGCTGGAGGTCAAACACTTAACACTAGACTTGAGGATTTCTTAGTGTTAAATTTAATTAGTGGCTAGAGTTTGAAAAGTTTCAACTAGTGGCTAGGGAAACTGAGATTTTCTTTATCTTTAAATGGTACAAATGCAGTTGTTTTTATAATTAGAGATACGAGATATTTATATACAATAGCTTTATAATAGTGGAATGTCACAAGATAGAAATATAATTAGAGATACTAGATATTTGCATACAAGAGCTTTATAAAAGTGGAATGTCACAAGTTGAACACTTAATGTTAGAATCATAATGATTCCAGTGTTGAGTGTTTGACTAGCAATTAAGCGGTCTCCAGTGTTTGATTAATGGCTAGTGTTATTGATATATGGTTTCACTATTTGAGTAGTATATACAAGTTTATGTACTATTTGCATACAATAAGCATCACAAAATGAAAACGTTACTAGTTAAACAACTACTAGTTGAATTCTAATTAATGCAAGTCATTGTTACTAGTTTATTGTAATTAATTTGTTCATGTCACTAATTTAAATGCTGATTTTAAAGACTATTCAAAGTAATTGCCTAATTCAATTCAAATTGAATTAATATTGGTTAGAATCAGTGTTAAAATATTGATTTTAGAAAAGTCAGTTGCTATTTTTAATTGATTTTGTTCAATTGAATGTTTTATCTCTCAAGTAATTTTAAAATTTAATTGTTTTTACTTTATTAAAAAATATGAAAATGTAATTAAAATTGGATTTTTGGATAAATTGACATTAAAAAATGATACTAGTTGTAAAAGGATCACACTATAATATATGGATTAAGTAAATAATCCCTAGAAACTGAAACAAAAAGGTAAACTTGGTTAAAAACTTCGTTGGCTTCAAAAAGTATAAAGATGGTAATAAAAGGTGACACCTTTCTCATGTTTGAAAATAAGCACCTATTTCAAAAATTGCCAGACATGAATGAAGAAGTCAATGATATGCAACATAAAATGTAGAATTGCCATGAAAAAAGAAGAAATATTTCTGAAAAGCAAAACTAGAATTCCGCAGTGGCCAAAAGAGACAAATCAGGGCAAAATACATTCATGCAATGCAATGAAAAGGTAGTGAGGAACTCATGACGTTAACAGGGTTATTGACATTTATATGAATGAATTAAAATTCTAGAGAATTAAGATGAGCTGATCTCTGGAAATAATTTTGGTATTGTCAAAATCCAGTTTATGCCCAAGATTCCAAGAATGGACGGCATTTGATGATTTATCGCTTTCTTAATAATGGACATATCGATCATGTTCCTATATCCGATCATGATCCTTCATCCGATCATGTATCATGTATCCAATCATGATCCTTTTTTCTCTGTTTTGTTCTTAGTTCCCGCAGTTTTTCTTGTGTTGTTTTTCACCTTTGTTTTTCCTTTTTTGCAGTTGCAACTTTACATTTCAAGTTTTAAATCACTTTTGCTTCCATCATTCAGGTCTGGTAAGTCTTGGAGAATGAATGCTTATTTTTGGGCGCTTGAAATATGTTAACTTTTATTACCATCTTTATATTTTTTAAAACTAATGAAGTTTTTAATCAAGTTTAAAATATTATATGAGTTATAAAAATTTTAATTAATTTTAATTTTATTTATGATGAACTGAATTATTAACATTTCTTTTTCCTTACATTCTCTTTCAAAAGTATAAATTTATCCTGCTTTTTTAAATAATATCTTTTCATAGGGTTAGCATTTGAAAGACAAGAAAGTGTTAGTAGCTGTAGCCACTACAGTGATTCAAAACTTAGTTATGATTCTCTTTCCCCAAGTCGTGATCCAAAAAATGTGCATAGTGACTCTGACCTCAGCCCCATGAAAGCGACTAAAAAAACGCCTTCATATTCTGTAAATAGTGATCGCCGTGATTGGACGTCATTAGATGTAGAGGATTTGCCTTTAAAATTACAGAAATTTGTTGAAAATGCATTTTCTGAAATTGAAAAAAATTCTGAAAGTGACACTGTCGTGAAAAGTCCTCTACGCAAAGCAAGAAATGAAAGTGTGAAAATAGATCCCGATTGCTGACAAGAAATTAGTCAAGCTCATACTGAAAAGATAGCCTAGAAATCAAGAGTAATTGTTAATGATCTGTATAATAACCAAGTTATTCAATGTTTAATTATTTATTTTTGTTGGTTCTTGCTTGTAAATCAATTTAGTGTGTAGCTAGTCATGATGTATTTCCAGAACTTATATATCTCATGAAATTAATTTATTTGCATTTAAGCATGTTATACATGATCTCATGATGTTTTTGAAATAGTATGTACTTAAATTCATTTTACTTATGCTATATATTTTCAAACCATGTTATTTCATATCTTATCCAATTGTGAAAAGATTTCTAGAATGATGTATTTTATTATGTATTTTATTATGCTCTTTTATCTAAATTTATTTATTACTATCAATTTATTATGACATAAACTCTAAACTCAGTGGCGCGACAGCCCATAGAGGGCCAAGGCCTACTGTGCCCATCTCAGTTTTCTTGACCTTGGGCTCTGGGGTGAAGGATCAGACGTTCCGGTTAGGTGGTCAGCCAAACCCAGTGTTTAGTTCCCAAGCATGCTTGGTACTCATTTATCGACCCACTAAAGGGATGAAAGTCTGTGTCGACCTTGCCCGGCCCGAGGATCGAACCCAGGACCTGTGGCACGGGAGCCCTAAGCGCTACCACTCAGCCACCAGGCATCTTATTATGACATAACAGGATAATTATTTTATAAGTAACTCATTAATTTAAATTTAATAGTGTTTTCATAGAGTGTTTTTAACAAATCTTTGAGTATTCAGGTACGTATTTCAGACTTCTGTGAAAAGAAGTGCTATGTTAATTCTGCATTTTTTTAAAAATATCATTGAACTTAATGCTTAGAATTTGAATTTTTGAAACAATTTTGTTCTCTTTAATTGTATTTTGTACTTACTACGTGCTTTTGACATACCTGCCAACTTTTACGCATTTGGCGTAAAATTTTATTTTTATATTTAAAGTGGTAGTAAAATGTATGCTTTCTATATATTCCTTGCATTTATAAGCTTCATTTTATAATCTTCTTGACCACCACTATTTTTTTGAATAATTAAGCATCTATATTAATATGTAATATTGTTGTGGTAGTCCGTATAAGCCTTCTCATACATTATATGTGTCTGCCTAAAATTGTAATTTAAATTCCATTCTACTACCACGGAGGAAAATCATCCTCGAAGGGATTAAAAGTTGGCAGGTATGTTTTGAGCACAAATATTAAAAATTCTAAGCCATATTTATTCGTCAGATAAAATCAAAAAGCAGATTCATTATTTTTGTTCATTAAAATTGCATGAAGAAATGAAAAGCTATGATGTCATTGATATGTAACATATGTTTCAATATATGTTTTAATTGGTTTAAATCTCACTTGCAATTGAAGTTTTGATATTTTTTCAGATATTGTCATAATATGTATTTATGATCATTATATAGTTATAGGCTTCCATTATTTACTTATAATTGTAAAAAAGAAAGATTCAGAAACTAAGTAAATAAATAAAGAAAAAAATATAAGAGCCACTGGAATAAGACATATATTATTATCTTGAATTTATTAATCCCTTTTGGTGTGCCTTAAAAATAGTTCTTACATAAATAAATACTTTTCTTAAAATGTGTATTAGTGTGCATGCAAATTGTAGTTTTCTAGTGCACAACGATTCTAGTCGTAAACTTTTTTTCAGCATGTTCATATAAATAAATTCCCATGACTCTATGTAATATAGATATGTATCAAACTATACAGAGTTATCATCTAAATGTTAAAGTCATATTTTAAGTTTTTTTTTAATGTTGCTATAACTTTTTTGGGTAATTTTTTTTTTCTTAAATATTTATTGTTTACAGTGTATTCCTGATTATCTTTTGAAGATTATATGGAATGTGGATAATCTATAAATGTTGATAAAGTGTCCCCAAAATTTCTTTCAAAATTATTTATTGCAATAACGGTATTATATGACTTTGATTTACAGTATTTTAATTTAAATTAAAGAAAAGAAATATTTGTTTTATTTATTTTTCAAAAAAATTATGCATCTTGTGCTTTCTCTAAATATTGTATGATATTACCTGCCATCCCATGGCTTGTATCCCTTGATATCCAATTTATTATTGCAAAAAAAAAGTAAAATATAGAAATTTTTTGATAAAAGATTATGATAGAAAATTCATTTAATTAAAAAATAATATTTTATCAAGTTAACATTGTATTAAATATTTAAATATGAAATGTTAAGTTAAAAATTTTTTTATATGCCCTCATAATACCTATGAATTAAAAATTATTTTGTATTGAAATTTTGTTGTGTAATTTTTACAATGTTTACTTTGTATTTTTGTCATTTACGAAGCTACGAAATTTTCAAAACTAGTCATATACCATTTAAAACTTACTAGTTTTAAAAGGCCAAGTTTTATTTTATAATTTTATATTTTTATCTGTTTAGACTATATACTTATTTATTGTTTTTAGTCTTTTGAAATTTTATTCTGAAACATTTTTGACATCAAAAGCTTTAGAACTATTTTTTTAAATTATTTTAGTTTAAATTTGTTATAATACTTTAAAATAAATTCATATTGATAATCATTTACTTTTATTTGTAATTTTTATTTTGATCTGGTAAAGTTGTTTTGTAAGCATTATACTACAATATTGGGTGTTTAGGTAAATTATATAAAATTTTTTATCTACAAATATTATGGTTTAAAAGTGGACTATAATTCTAAGTGTTTATAAACCAACACAAAGACCGGCATTTTATGAAACTTATATTTTTAGCATGTGATATTTATTGTAATATTATTAGAGCATTTTGTTATCACAATTACATTGTATGTAATAAAAAAGTAATTCAACTGTAAAGTAGTATGCCACTAACAAAAAATAAGTTTGAAAAACCCCATTATTTTATGAATGATATATAATGACATATTTATGAATTATTGGAAAAACAATTCATATAGTTGGTTGTATAATATTTACAAGTTATCAACTCTTGTATTTATTATTTTTATTGAAATGTTATCAATAATTAATGAATATAGTAATATTTTGTTAATTTATTGAATATTTTTCATAGCATAGCTTTATTGTATTAAATCAAAGATTTTAGTAAATAAAAATTTTAAAGTGATCATAAAATAGTATAAGATGTTTCGAGTTTTAATGTTGCAATATTATTGGATCAAATTGCACAAAATATTTTATATATTTTTTTTTATTTCAGAGTATGGTATGTAAATTTCTGAGATTAAAATTAATGCTAACTATGTCTTAAAATTGTTTTTTATACAATAAATTTTTTTAAAAAAAAATCTCTGCCATGATCATTGTCAGATTTTTTTAAAATATTTATACCATAATTGTTGTCTGATTTAGATTTATATCATTATGGTTGTTGAATTTATGAAAGTTTTAATTATCAATCTAGTTTTGTATTAAGACTAGTAAAAAAAAAAAAATTATGGTGTTTTTCTATTTCTAAATTTTTTGTTGTTGATCTGTTTAAATTGTTATGATTGCAATGAAACATTCAAAATATATTTGCCCTTTAGTGAGTTAGTTGTTTTCCATTTTGAAGAATATCAGTGTAAAATGTCTTTTTGAAGCCCAGGTTCATTAAAATTAAAAATGCAAATGCTTATGTCTCTGTTAACACGTTGAGCGCCACGTCAGCCATCGTTGGCTGACACTGGACTTTCCATTTAGGCCGTGTCAACCACCGGTGGCTGACACTGAAATTACATTTAAGCCGCATCAATTACTGGCGGTTGACACTGAAATTACATGGTGGCTGACACTGAAATTACTTTTAGGCTACGTCAACCACCGATGGCTGACACTGAAATTACATTTAAGCTGCGTCTGCCACCGCTTGCTGACACTGACCTTTCACACAGGCTGCGAAAAACAGCTGACTGACAGCGTATAACATGATATAGAACTATAAAATTTACACTCTTTTATGGAATTGCAGAAATTTTATTCAAAATTTACTTAATTATTGTGACTCTTGGTTTAATAAATTGAATTTAGTAGATTCTTATCCACCACTATTTTTAAACAATTCGTAGGCATATATAATTCACCACTTTTTTCAGATATGTCAAGCTGAACCTTTATAAACTAGCAAAATCTGTCTATATTTGCAAATTTAGTTTGCAGTTATTTACCGTGTGGCCAGACGAGCAAGCCATGTAAAATTGGCGTGGCATTCAATGTGTTAATATTTTTTTTTTTGTACTAGGATGTGGTTCTGTACAACTATCCAAATTGTTCATGTGTTATTCAAGCCCTAGCATTTGTTAGTTTTTTTTACATGTAAGCAATACTAGTTACTTCTGTAGCATCCAGAGAAGGGGGAAGGAACTAAGCTTCTTGCTTTTAGCCAAAGGGAGCATCTAATCAATCACTAAGGATTCAGAAACCTATTATTTTGATTAGAAAATTAAAAATTTTTAGTAGGTAAATATTGGCTGAAGTAAAAATTTTTATCTTTATGTCTAATGTACAATGCTTATATGTATGTGCAGTGTGCAAAGAATGACTACAATACTTTTAAAAATTTGATTTCTCAGGAACTATTCTACCAATATAGCTCAAATTTTGTATTTTGCTATGTAAAATATCGTTCTTTAAAATGATGTAAAAAATAATGCACTTCAAAATTCAATTTTTTCGACTATTATTAAATAAAATATCAAATATTTACTAAAAGTTATTTTTTGCATGGAATTATCTTTTTATAATTGTGGGTAAACATTTTTCAATTCGTTTAAATAATTCTCAAGATATGGCGAAATACGCAAGAAGCAAAATTAGCATTAAGGGGTCCAAACTTTGGAGCTCTCTCCGGTCCAAACTATTGGGACCATATTTCCCAAATTGCGGCCACCTCCTGTATTTTGGGGGTCAGAAATCCAAATTTGTCACAAAAAGGGAGACAATATTTTACACATTACCGGGTGATTGCAATTCAATTTTTCAAATTATGGGAAAAAATTCATATTCATTCAGAAAAAGTATGTTTTTATGTCTGATTTTGTAACTTAAAATATTGTCTGCACTAACTAATTAGTGTATTTAAGGTCATCCCCTTGAACCATAATATTGAGTCCCAGAACATGAAACTCCTATCATTTAGGGTGGTCCGTTTTTTTTTCTTGCGCTGTACCTTATACTAATCTGCACCATTCTGAATTCAAATTTGGTGTACATTACATGTACGGTACATTTGTTTATGGTGTACAGTACAATAATTTTATATGGGCAAAATCAGTTGATTAATTCATGAGAAATCGAATATTAAATAAGTCGTGTATTTAAAATTTGATTTCTTAGTGATTCAATTGATTTCGCTAAAATTTTATATTTTGCCTTGTAAAATTACATTCTTTAAAATGGCGTATAAAATTGTATACCTTTCAATTAAACAATTTTTCGACTGTTACTATATAAAATGATAAAAAATAATAAATCTTTACTAAAAATAATAAATCTTTACAAAAAAATAATAAATATTTACAAAAAATTATTTTGTTCAAGGAATTATCTATGGATAAACGCTTTCTATGAAGTTTTTTATTTCGCAAACGAAGTTTTCGAGATATGGCGAAATACGCAAAAAGTAAAATTAGCATTAAGAGGTTCAAAGTTCGGATAGCTCTCCTAACCTAACTATTATATATTTTCCATATTCATCCATATATACTATTCATTTCCCTATGCACTATTATATATTTTAGATATTGACCATATTTTCCAGATTGCGGCTACCTTCTATAATTTGAGGTCAGAAATCCGAATGCGTTGAAAAAAAAGGTGTGTGTATTCAAAAAATTACGTTTTTGTGTCTGATTTCGTAACTTAAAATATCGTCTGCACTAATTAATTATCTCATTAGAGGTCACCCCCTCGAACCATTAAGAATGAGTCCTGGAACGTGAAGATCCGATCATTAGATCAAAAGTTATTTAGGGCGGTCCGTTTTTTTTTTTACGCACTGTACATACGATGAAAGTCACATCGAACCCTGTCTACTTTGAAACTCTCCAGCCTCCAGTTCGCGTGCTACATCCCAAATAAAGAGTTTTCCATATAATTTGATAAATATTTTATAATAGTGATTTACTAGCTAGTAGCTATAATCAATCAAAAATTAGTTTTACCGCACGTATTTATTAATAAACCTTTATTTTATATGCCTGATTATAACAAGTAAAATCAACACTAATAATTTTGTGAAGTATGTTAATAATGTCAGCATATTCGTATTATAGACAGTATATGAAACGACGTGTATTAAGGAGTATCAAATCGAGGAGTTCTGCTGATTGTATTTGCTTACATGTATGAACAGTTTTAATATATCAGTTATAGGGCAAAATTAGAAAATTTGGTTACCGGTCAATGGCATTTTTAAAAGTGGCCACTTTTTCAAAAATTGAAAACTTTAAAACTATTAAAAAAATGTTGATATTAATAAAGCATTTCTTTTGAAAATCGGGTGCTATGGTATTTAATGTTTGTTAATAAACATTTATGTTTGTTAACAAGCATTAAATTTATTAATTTCAAAATGAATCTGAAATAATTGCAATCATAATGATGAAATTACATAATTTTTAAATATTGTCGATCATAAATTAAAAAAACAGAAATTAACTGAAACTGGAATATAACGTTTGATAGCCAAATCCAACCCTCCCTGCAATCTTGTACCAGTGTAAAATTACCTAAAAGTTCTAGGAGTGTTTACATCTTTACCGTGTAATAAATAATTATCGAAGTTGAAAGCATTTTTAGCATAAAAAATGGCGATTGAGTGGCGATTAACAAACAAATTTTTAATCGCCCCTATATTTTGCCCTATAATATATTCGTCATCAATATATAATAAAATATGTCATTTATTTTTTTAATTTTATTCTTTTTTTAAATCAGCATTTTTATATTATAATATTTCTATTAAATTCATTGCTATTTTGTTTTTGTTGAATGAATTTCTTATTTTTTTATTATTAAGAATATGTTTTATTTTTATTATTGTATGTTGAAACACTTTAATTTGTTTGTTATGATATAGAATGCATGTGATATCAGATGTGATTTGCATAATAAAGAACTACAAAAAATCAATGCGTTAAGAAGATTTATTACTATTAATAGAGAAACAGAATTGCTTAACAATTTTTTTTATTAAGAAAATATTTTTCAAACTTAAAAATATATATATCAAAAGCTATTTTAAGACAACTATATTTCAAAAACTAATTTTTAAAAAATTAACTTAAAATATCAACAATCAAATAGCTAAAATTCTTTTTAGTATTACGCTTCGCCATTTTTTGACCCTTCTTTAGATATGGAATTGAAGACAGCACTGTCACCATTTACTTCTTTAACTGAAAATGCAAAATTCAATCACTGATCCTGATGTATGTGAAATTAATTTGATTGCAGTTCATAGAACTTGGAAGTCTTTGGTTGACAAAAATGGCGGCAATATCGACGTCATATTTATACAGTTCTACAAAAAGTCATCTTACGTGTCATTGCATCTTTGTCTTTGAGTACATAAACAATCTATATCATCTATAGAGAGGATTTCTGAGATCAAATTATTTCGGAAAAGTGCTTCTAAAGATATCTCATTTCTAAATAGTATAAAATCCGTTACTTGGAATTGTGTGAATTTGTAGTCATCAGTGCAATTGCTAATTGATTACTTGTTTTTACTGATGCAAGTAATATATTTACTGCTACTGCTGAATATTTAATTGTTACTTGTAATCATTAGTGCAATAATTGCAGCATCATAATACTTAGTTGTATTAGCGCAATAATTGCCGTATTATTGCACTTCTCAATTCTCTTTCCTTCTGTTTTCATTGTGACATTTTAGCACAATTTTAATATCTTCTAATAGTTCTTACACTTCATTAATTAAAATTCTTATAAAAGTTACATGGAACACTTTAGTTAGCGTCCCTAGGATGAATTCAGTCGGAACTATTAGTTTTCGAATAGTAAAGAACAGATTAAAAACAAAAAATTTTGAAATATTTTTTTTCTCAAAACAATTGCATTTTCAAAAAAATTGAGATTATGAGCACAAACTGCTGATTGTAGTCTCTGCAATCGTCTTTTTTTTCTCCATTGGATAAATTTTTAAACTTACATTTATTTTTTGGAAATTAATTAACCCAAGATAAACTATTCGATTCGTTATTGATACCCAGATAAAATTTTTTACGTGTGTTACTGTTTTCATTATATATATATTTTACATTTAACGATTTAGTTTATAAATTGTTAGCATTCCTAAATTTTTAATTACAAAAATTCTAATTTAATTATTAATTTCCTTTTTACTGTAAATTATAAAAAAAGACTAACTGTCGTAATTCATTTGTTTTTCTAAATCAACTATTGTCACGATTTCTATTGTTTCTTGTAAGTTTCGAACACATCGATCTGCACTTAAGTTTTTCGATCTGATTCAAACATATCACATTTTATTATTATTTTTTTTTTGAACAGCACATTTTCCCACCATTTCCTTTGTCCTAGTAGTGGAAAAAACATCCATAAACTTTTGAATCACATTATCAACTCGTTCATAAATTATCGAGATATCGACTTTTGTCTCGACAAAATCGATACTTCACAGTAACACGGATATATAAATAAAAGAACCATCAAAACTCAAAACAATGAGTCTGTTTTCTCGTACAACAACTATTTGACAACTATAAATTGTTCACAAGTTTTGACACATGAGATATCACTGGTTTTGTGGCTAACATAAATACTATTCCAGTCTAAGGTCTAGTTGAGTTGAGAGAACATATTCTTGATGTTGACTCATCAACTACTTTAAGCAAACGATTTTTTAGTTCAGAACGTTCCAAAAAGTGGTTGTTAAGTATGAATATCCAGAATTGCTTCGATCACTACTCAGCACTTTTGAGTCCCATCTCATCACAAAAATATTTATCGTTCGATGAGAAATTCTCATCTCGTTGTCCTGAAAGGAAGCTGTATTTTATTAAGGTCTTCCAAGCGTGCAGTTGTAGACCTGGGCAGAAACGTAATCGAAGTGGACGATGCAAGTTGCAGCATTGTTGTCGTAAGAGAGCTCAGAAACTTTCAATTCTGGATTCACTGAAACCTGAAAGGAGCGAATAAATTTACACAAGAAATTATTTCTTTTTTCTGTAAAATAGTAATTACACTTTTAAAAAAAAATTGAAACATACAACACATTATTTTTAAAACTCTTTTTTCCATTAATGTGGGAAAATTTACATTTTTAATAAAAAAGCTATGCTAAAATTAGTTTTCAAATCAAATGCAATAAACTGCTTCAACAAACTTTTTTCTCCAGGTAATGTTACAAAATAAATTTAAAAAAAAATCTAACTATGATTTCGAATAAAAAAAATAAAGATTCTAAAAATCAACCTTACGAGTTACGTATAGTCTCTCTAGCCCAGTGTTTCCCAAACGTATGACTTTTGTGTACCCTTTCTAAATTTTTGGTAACGCTGTATACCACTAATAAAAAAATTAATGTATTTCTTTAAAAATATGTTTATTTAGAATGGAGAATAAAGTTAAAAATCACAACTGGCTGTTGACACCACTAAATATTAACTGTTAACTCTGCAAAAAATAGCCAATAGAAAAATACGTAATCGTAAATTTTCATGGCTAGCATTGTTTTTAAATAAAATATTTTTAATTTTTCGTTTGTTGCAAGATATTTCGCATAAGAACGCGCACCCCCGCTAAATTGCTCCTGTACCCCTGGAGGTACGCTTACCACACTTTGGGAAACACTGCTCTAGCCGAAAGTTTCCCGAATGTTGTTTCATGGAAGTGTAAAAGAGGTTTCGTGAGTTAGCACTTTTTATAATCAGTGATGAGTTTGATTATATGATGAGTTTGATTATCTTTTTTTTTATAATCAGGGATGAAACATCAGATTATATTTTGATCCAGCCTATAATTCAATATTATGGTTACTTTTATGAAATATTACTTTTGCCTTAAGGAAATTATTTCAAGTCAAATGCCAATGACCTATACGAATCTATAAGATACAAATGACATTTTTTAAAGGACAATATAAAATTTCTAATAGCAATATATTCAACAGCATTTAAGTATTTCCTATCGCTCTTGTCAAATTAAAATAAGTAAATTCTTTAACCAAGAGATGTGTTTTCATAATAACCAGTTTCAACGTTTATAGCAGTTCTTTTAAGGTTTCATTTCGAAATAATACATAATTCGGCTTACTTATCGGACATAAAACCTAACGTAAGATTATTAATAATGAAACGATGTAAAATCTTCATTCCTGTAATTAAATGTTTGAAATTTAGTCATTTATATATTGTAACGAGTAAACTTGGGGTTCGCCAAAAAGGAAGGTTGATTTTTTAGGGTTCCGTAACAAAAAAAAAATTCAAGCTGCTGGTCTAGGCAACAAAGAATATTACCTAGAAAAATTGGCAAGATTTTTTTTCTTTGAATATCTATGTTTTTTGGGGTGCTGAACTTGCATTCGCATTTTGAGACAGAAATTTTTCCGAAAATCATGTTTATTCCTTGAAAAATCTGCTTTTTTGATTTAACCACTTGCGCTGGCAAAAAAATCACTGACGCGTCTTCGTCGGTTTCGGAGTGGAAAAATTATTTCATTAAAGTCACTATCACTACCATCGTGTTTTCTTTTTTTATTTGTCGAAATGATGTCGTTAACGTCACTTTTGCTTTCCATTTTAGAATGTGGGTAAAATATTTAAAATTGTACGCTATGCAGTGCACTACTGATCTGTACCCTGACAACAATTCCACCTGATGTGCCACGCATGTCGTTTTTGTTTCTGTAACAATTCCATGATGACGTAAATACCACGTCGTCGGCGATTCTGTGACAAAAGCATTATGACGTGCGTGGCACGTCTTTCCAGCGCAAGTGGTTAAGATAGAATATTTCCGATTCTTCTCCATAAAATATATACCAACATATTGACCGCTGGATAAAAAATCAAAGAAATAAGAATATGAAAAATGACTATAACATTAATGTCTCTCTCAGTAAATCAACGGAAAAATAACGGAAGAATAAATAGTTGAAACTAATTATTCTGGTTTTACCAATTTAAAGTATTCCCCGCTTATTCTCAGTTATCATAGTTGTATCTAAAGGGAAAAGTGAGTACTTTCTACTTTTGCTTTTGTTCTTTCATTGTACTTTGTATGAAACTTTCACCTTCTGCCTGAAGATTCGATGTGATGACACAAGATAAATGTCCATTTCTAAAAACAATGGGGGCGGCATTTGACCCAGATCTTGGGATAGATTAAATCTAGCCAAGATCAAAAGGATTACCAAGTGCATGACAGTACACGTCAACAGCTAAATTCTGATCAATAAAGTATTGTGGTGTCAGAATGTTTTCTTTCCTATCATGCGACCGATAGACTTTATGGATTTATTATTTCGTCATGTTTTTTTCCTCCTCCCCGACAGTTTTGGTACCAGTTTGTAGTATTGTCATTGTTGTCTGCAGCAGTGTTAAGTAGGATTAATTCGTAGATAAATTTGAAATTATTCACTCGGATTTTGATTTTGAGATTTTTTCTTGAATGAAATACATTTTATTCAGAGAAATGAAGACATTTATATATTTTTTTTATCGATATTCTGACTATACACATGAACTAAGCTTAAAAAAACTATTGTCATTAGTTTTCTCGTTTGGCCGCGGTGCGGGTTGAAGCGTAGCTGTTTAGAAATTATTATGATAGTTGGCAAGCTTTATACAAATAAAAATAAATTATTTTTTTGCAGTTAGTTTAATAAATTGGTCTGCAACCATCCGAAAATGGTAAGTCAACCAGATTTTGAAATAATTAAAATTCTCGGACATTAATTGAATTTTCCAATACAGAATTACAATGCTTCGACTCGCACGAAGCAAATTAATTTTATTAATAAATTTTGAAATCTATCTCTATCTCATTAAAAAAAAAAATTTTTTTTTTTCCCGTTTTAATAGAATTTTATTGTATAGATTTATAATTCATCGTAGATGTGATTATTTTAAATTAATTATATTCAAACATTTTTTTTCTTTTTTTTTTGCTTTAGGTTTGTCACATAAAAAAATTGTAACACGTTTTTGTTCGCGTTTTATTTCTCAATGCATCGCTATCATAGAAGCAAAACCAAAATCAACCATTTTGTTCTAGTTAGATTATATTTGTACAGAATTCAAGTCCACGCTACTCGACCAAGAATTTAAAAAATTAAAAAAACTAATTTTATAATCTAGAGCTTCCGTCCGGACATTTTTATTCTCTTTAAAATATATTCAAACTTGGGGTGTTAATTTGCTTAAAAGTTTTACAGTAGTTTAACTTACCCTACCTTACTTAAACCATGTATTACTTATTGTAACTTACGGTAAAAATTTTTAATATAGTTTTGTACCTTTCACTGTTATACATATATTTTTTTTATGTATTTACATTGCATTTCAAAACTGTTGAAAAAAGCTAAACGTGGTAATTAAGTCTATAATTAAGAATATAAAGAAGCTTATTGTAAAGTCTATAATAAAATCTACTTTAATAAAAGTAGAACATAGTAATAAAATTGCCGGTTTTTATTATAAATTCAAATTGTATATACCAATTAAAAATGACTCAAAATAAAAAAAGAAAGCTTTTTAATAATTTATGTTCGAATTCAAATAATTGGATTTTTGGCCTCAAGATAAAAAAGACCAAAAATGGAAATAGTGTGCATTAAAATGATAAAATTCAGAAAGCTAAATTTATAATTCGATGCTTCGGTCTGGACATTTTTTTTGAAACATAAATATATTCAATCTTAGGATGTTAATTTGCCTGAAAGCTTTATTGTAGTTTATTTTACCATACCTTTCTTATGCTGGATATTAATATCGTAATTTACAGTAAAAATGAAACTCTTTAGCATAGATTTTTACCTTTATGGTTAAACATATAGTAGAATGGAGGATTTATATTGTATTTCAAACCTGCTGAAAAATCCCAAGCATACTAATATAATCTCTAATAAAGTTTATAACAAAGGCTATAACAAAATCTATTATAAGGTCTATAATAAAGGCTATAATGAAGCTTATAATAAAGTTTATAATAAAATCTACATTTATAAACTTAAAACGTAGTAAAAAATTATCGGATATTATTATCGATTCGAACTGTACATACCGTGCTCAAAACAAAAAAGAATTTTTTTTTAATAATTTCTGGTCAAATTCTAATAAGTGGATTTTTACGTACCAAAAGATGCTATCTAAATTATTCAAGGGACTTATCTTAAGTATACTAAAATAAGCAGCCTGTATTTTATGTTACGAAATTAAGAAAAATCTCGAGGTATGTACACTGTGCAAAATAATAAGCAGGCACCTTAATTATTTGTGATCTAATGGACGGATTTTCGCGTACTACAACTCAATCTTAATATTTCGCGAGACGAGACCTAATCTTAAATATAATTTAATTAGTTAGAGCAGACTCCATTTTTCTAAGAAAAAACATTGTTTTTTCTCGACGGATTTGAGTACCTGATTTTCAAATTTTGATCCCCAATTTGCAAAATAATAATGTCCCATAGCTGAGGAAGGAGAGCAGACGAAAGTATGGGCTTCTTAATGTTAATTTCACCTTATCATACTCTTGATCTGCCCAATGTAATTAAATAATTTTCTTACTTAATTATAAAATTCGCTAATTCAAATGTAATGCTACGTAATTATTTTTATAATTATTTATTAATTTTTATTAATGATAATTTTTTTTAGATTATATGGTCTACAAATTTTTACATCGTTTTTAACAATGACATTTTAAATGTCACTGTTTAAAATTTGAACGGAAGAATAAAAAAACGATTATTTTGAAACCTTTCACAGTGAAAAAAATTGAAATTAATAGCAAAATTACGACCGCATTCGTTCTTAAATTATTGGGAGAATGTTTTTCAGGTTAAAGAATCCAAAATATTTTGTGGGTTAAGGATCCAAAGCCATATAAAAAGAAGTATGTNCTTTGTATGAAACTTTCACCTTCTGCCTGAAGATTCGATGTGATGACACAAGATAA